TCCGTGGATGGCGCTTTGATCGCCGCTTCGACTGGGCGCCGAGGGTGGTGGTGGAGGCTGATGAGGTGGTGGTTGTAGATGAGGTGTTGCCGTTGACGCTAATGCCCCGGTTGGTCGACTTTCTCCGGGCCTTGGCCTACAGCGTCTCCTCGAAGGCAGCCATGAGATCGCTCTGCATGTTCATATCGATTTGGCCAGCCATCTGCAAGGCAGTACCATTTGTTCAATCTTCAATTGAAGTGGTTGGAAAGTAGATGTTGACTTACCGCTTCGCGCCTGCGCCGCTCTTGCTCGGCCCGCCGCTGCTCGGCACGTTTGGCGGCCGCCCGATCCTGCGGCGATTGCTGTGCCGGCGAACTCTGGCCCTGTCCGCCCGGCGACGCCTTGATGTCATCCACCCGCGATATCTGCGGCTGAGCATCGTGAACGCTTTTCCTGCAATAATAATAATAGCACTTTAGATAAGGGGCTAACACTTAGTGTGAACTATAACTTGATATTATTAATTGGGATTTTTTTCTTCTATTTTACTGATTCTAAGAATCTTATTTTTCAAACGAGTTAGGGCTATTAGCTCACCTTCCGCTTTCCATGGCGCCCAGGGGCGAGGCAGCCAGGAACGCCTGAACAGCCACAGCGGCCGCCACCTCCTGCGCCCGGTTCTGGGGCGCACAGCGGGTTATCAGGTATTCAACGCTGCCCATGCCACCGCTTGCAGGACCTCCGCCACCACCACTGCTGCCCTGGCTATTGGAGCCCGGTCCGCCGCTGCCAACGATGCCGCCGACGCTGCTGTTGCTGTTGCTGCTGGCAGCGCCGCCGCTGCCTACGCCACTGTTGCTATTGCTGCCGGCATTGAGCAGCGCCGGTCCGCCACCGCTGTTACTATTGGCATTGCCGCCGCCGCCGCTGTTTGGTCCACCGGCGCTGGCCGGACCACTGCCTCCGCCGCCGCCGCCACTGCCACCGCTGCCCGCACTGCCGGGTCCATTGCTGTTGGCCGAATTGCTGCTGTTGTTCCCATTGCCGGACTGACCGCCACCGCTGCCGGAACGCTCACGTTCCCGCTCGCGATCCCTATCACGCTCGCGATCGCCACTGATCGCCTGGTTGCTGGTCGGACCGCCGCCGCCACCACCACCACCGCCGCCACTACTGCTGCCGCCCGAAGCACTCGAGGCATTGGAAGCCACGGCCGCTGCCGCTGCTGCTCCCAAGGCCACCGCCTCGGCTAATGATGCGGCTGCAACGGCTGCTGCCTGGGCGGATGCGGCCGAGGCCGACGAAGATGATGACGAGGACTTGTGGTGCTTACGCTGCTGCTCCTTCTCGGCGGCCTCCTTTTGGTTCTTCTTCTCCTTCTCGGCCGCCTCCAGCAGCTTGAGACGGTCGCGTTCTTTGGCTTTGTTGCGGAACTGCTGGAACGAGTCCATGGCCGGCTTTGCCTTGCTGCTGCTCGAGCTGCTCGACGTGTGCGACTGCGGTGAGTTCGCCGACGCCAGCGAGGACCATGAGCTGGCATTCTTCAGGTTCTGCTCGTTGGTGGCTTTGAAGGCCTGCGACAGCTTGCCCTGTGCTGATGCAGCTGCCGCTGCCGCCGCCTGACTCGGATGCAGCTTCATATCCGAGGGCGACTGCTGTGGCGGCAACACCTTCTGATGCTGCTGCAATTGCTGCTTGTCCGGCGGACTAGGCATCATCGATTCGATGGGCTTGGGTATGATCAGCAACTTGTTGGCCACCTGCTGCTGCTGATGGAGCTGCTGATTGAGCTGCTGATGCAGTTGCTGTTGCTGTTGCTGGAGATGTTGCTGCTGTTGCTGCTGCTGTTGGGTTAGTTGCTGCTGTTGTTGCTGGTGATGTTGCTGCTGCTGCTGCTGCTGGTGCGTTTGCTGTTGTTGCTGCTGCAGCTGCATCTGTTGCTGCTGGAGCGTGTGCTCCAGATCGAGGAATGCTGAGGCCGCCGTCATATTGAGGCCATCGAATCCGGCCATGCCGAAATCGGCCACATTGAAGCCATTGTTGTGCGCCTGCTGCTGCTGCTGCTGTTGTTGTTGCTGCTGCTGCTGGGGATGCTTTTGCTGGTAGGCGGCCGCCGCCATGTCCAGATTGAAGTTCAGCAGGTGGTTGCCATTCATGCCGCCCACATTCTCCGCTCCCTTGGTCAGCAGCTCTGTTACGTAGTCCATGTGCTGCTGCTGCTGCTGCTGCTGCTGCTGCTGTTGTTGCTGCTGCTGCTGCTGATGGCCAAAGGGTTGCTGCTGCTGCTGCTGTGGTCCGGCGGGCTGCATCAGATGCTGCTGCATTAAAAAGTTGTCAGGCAACGATGACTTGCCCGTGGAGCCGGTGCTGAACTCCAACGAGGCCAGCGACTGCTCAACGGGATCATCGAACTGTGGTATCTGTTTGAGGCCAGAGGCCAGCGAGGCATTGGCCATCGCATCCCCATGCGGTCCGCCCAGTGGGTTAGTGTTGTTGTTGTTGCTGCCGCCGTTGTTGTTGCTGTTGCTGCCGGTGTTGCCACCGCCAGAAGTGCCGGTGCTGTTAACGCCGGACGTCAGGGCAGCCGCCAGTGCCGCATGATGCTCGCCAAGATCACCGCCACCCAAACCGGCCGGCTTGTGCAGATTGCTTGCTATGCGAATGCCACCGCTCGACTGACTGGTGGCCACTGCTGCGGCTGCTGCTGCTGATCCTCCGGCGAAACTGTGCGGCGGCAGGGCGGCGGTGATGGAGCCACCCGGTGGCACTTTGCTCAGATCATTTGGTCCATTCTTGTTGTGCTGCTGTTGCTGCTGCCCCGTCGCCCCGGAAACTGCAGCACCGGCAACTGGACCGCCACCGGCGTGCAACATGTTCCCGGCACCGGCAGTGGGCGCACCGCCGAAATTGCTGCCCGGCAGTGTTGTCTTGTTGTTGTTGTTTAGCATGGCAGCTGCCATCAGGGGATTGGCATTGCCCAGCATGTTGGCTACAAGGGATCGGGGGAAGGATTGCGAGTCCAGGATGGGGGTCACACAAGAAACGAAAATTAGTCACACACTTCACAAGATTCGGGCGGAATGGCTCACAGAAATCTCTGGCTTTAGACCTTGGTCTAATCAAAATCACAGGGATTTCTGTGGCCATATACTGGATGAGGTTTTCAACTTACACATTTGTGATGTGGAGTTCACCACATGGTCCAGGCCCATCAACATGGTTGTCGGCGTGAGGGCGCCACTCGGATGGTTGCCGCCCAGAACCACATTTATACTTGGATTATTTACCTGTTAGCCCAGATATTGTGAGGGTAACACGGGGTAAAAAAAAAAAAAGGAAAAGGGAAGATGAACATGTAAGACATTAGCTCTGGTTATCACGACAATCAACAATCACAGTGAGCAATGCAATCTGCATTTGGCAATGGGTTGCTTAATTATTTTAAAAATCATTTCATATTGGTAATTGATCAGTTTATAGATGATAGAAATAGTTTTGATTAGATATAGCCCCAACCCATTGCCAAGTCCCTACCCTTCGTGTTGTATTTATGCCTATTTATCCACCCATTTTCCCCCCGATTCTTAAATAGTCACTGAATTTCGGTACTCACATTGCCTCCGTTCGAGTCTCGGGGTTTTTTCTTGCGCGGCGGTCGTTCGTCACCATCACCTGTTGAGTGGGGAATTTCAGAATAAAGATGAGAGAGGTTAGCAGGGCTCGACGACCGAGGTCGCAAAAAGGATCAAAGCTAGGGGGTTATCAACAAGAAGCTAGGAAAAGCAACGGGTTGGATCTCGATTTAGGTAAAATTGGTCAACACAATTTATGAGAAATAGATATTTTTTTTAAATTCCATAACAAGTTAATGCTTTGAAATGATATAGATATGTATAAAAATACTAATATTGGTATTATCACATTATTCAAGGATATCATGTCTTTTAGAATCAATCTATGGGTCTATAAATTATTCTTGACCAATTTTGATCATATAGAGAACCATCCTGACAGGCACAAGCGATAGTGATATTTTGAAGGGACGTAGGATCGTAAACGTATATCGTACAAACATTACATTAGCAGTGGTTTTTGGGTTTACATTTATATATATATAAAGATTCAGATATAGGTGTATTAAAAATACCTCTTACAATGCCGATCGATGAAACAATTGTGTCGTGGTGGGTTTTCGTGGTGGTGGTTTTTGGAGTTTGGTGGATGAGCAGCCGCTTTACGGCGCTCTTTCTTCACTTCTCTTCTCTTCACTTCTCTTCTCTGTCTATCTGCCCTGTTCCACCCACTCTCCCATTTCAATATCTAAACTGTAAATGAACTGAAAAAAGAACGGGCCAGAGACCCCGGCGACCACCCCCTCCCCTCCCCTCTTTTTTTTTTTTTTTGCACCAAGTGGATAGAAGACAATGGATAATCGCAACCAAAACCAACCTTCGAGGCTCCAATCGATATGTTTTTATCGGGTTTTCTCAAAAAAATCGTTACTTTCGTTATTTTGTTTTATCGTTAAATTATTTCTCTCTTCTGTGAAAAGAAATTGATTTTTGGGTATAATGAGAAAACACACAGATAGTTTTTTTTTTTCTTCTTTTTTAATAAACATTTTCTTTTCTCATTTTTCATTTTTGTTTGTTGTATTCATTGCGTTTTTTTTTTTTAGTTTAGTTTAGTTGTTGTTTGTTTCGCTGCTGCGGTTGCGCTGCCATTTTGTAATAATAAATATTATTATTGTTTTTACTATAAATATTTAAATGTATGCGTGTGTGTGTTTTCATAATGCTAAATGTGTGTGTGTTGGTTTGTTTGTATTTGTGTTCGTGTGTCGGTTACGTTACGTTACGTAGTTCGCGTCGTCCGCTCTGTTTTCTTTTCTTTTTCTTTTCTTATTCCCTCTACCTCCTTTCTTTCCCTAAGATTTTCACTATTTATCCTTTCGTTTATTTTATTTTATATATTATTTTATTTTCTGTTTTTGTTTTCCTTATTTTGTGAGACGCCTGCGCAAATTGAAACCAAAAATGCACTGTTTTCTTTTTTTTTTTAATGTTTTGTTTTAGGGAAATTCTGTTTTTGATATTCTTACAAGACTTTTTGAGCGTGTTTACATGTTTGTAAAGTTGGTGCTGTTGCATTTTACTGCTCTGCTTTCTCCTCGTCACTACTACAGGCTATACAAAAACACAAGAATCAGGCTTACAACAAAACAATTTCAATAATATGGGGCTAAATGGATGGAGAAGGCGCTTACGGGGTGTGGTGACCTCGATAAAGAAAGTACAAGAGCTACTATATTACGTACATACAAACAAGTTCGGACCCTAAAGAATAGGCAATTGGGTTTGAAAACAAAAATTAATTCTAAAAATAATCTGTGGCTAAATAATGCAAACTTATTCTTGACTGTTTCGAATTCTACACTACACCTTGGCTCTCTTTAAAAACTTGCTTGCTTTCTTCGCTTCGCATTTTGACCGTTGAGTTTCTTCGATTTGAAAGTAAATATTGTTACATTTTGTGTGGTGTGATTTTGTTTGTTGTTATTTATCATTATTATTGTTGGATTTCATTCGTTTTCCTCCTGGCAATTTTCATTTGATTTAATTTAATAGTAAAAATTTATATTTAAATTGATTTTATGCAATTTGTTTTGTTAATTTTTCTTTATTTCCATTGCATTATCATCTCATCTCATCAAATCATCACTCCTCCTCCTCTCTTCTATGCATTTTTTTTGTATATTTTCGTAATATAATATATATATTTTATTTTTTTTTTTTTTTTGAAAAAAACGTGCAAACAATGTGTAAAGGGGAAAGCCGACAGCCGAAAAATAAATAATAAAATGTTTTCAAAATACATTTAATTATTTGTTTTCTTTTTTGTAGTTGTTTTTTGTTTATACCTTCTTTGATACATACATCTATGTAAATATAGCTATGTATTTAGAACTAGTTGGAGTTTAGAAGCTATAGAGTAAAAGACTCTATATACGTAACGCTTGGTTCCATTCCGATTCGTTCCACTTTTCTCATACCGTTTTACCGTTACTACTACAGACAGAGACAGACACAGTGGCAAGGACACACAGAGAGAGAAAGAGAGAGAGACAGAGAGTTAGACAAATTAATTTTGGACCCGATACATTTACCCCACTCTACGAAATCGTTTGTTTTTACTTCCGATAGTTGGTTTTGGATATTTTAAATTTTTGATCGGTTTTTATTGTTGTGTGTTTCTTTAAATTATTATTAAGCTGTCTTTTCGGGTTTTCACTCATGAATTCCTTTTGGAAGTAAGCTGGAAGCATTTCTGTTTTTCGGATGACGGTTCTCCCACATTGATACACATAAAGTTAATGACAACAACAAATATTTAACCACGAATTAATGATATACAGAGAGATATTAAGCAATTCTCGATTCTAAGTGATAATGCGATGCGAGCTATTGTTCGCGAATTGTGCTAATTGCAGTGTTTCAGTTCCATTTGTTCCGTCTGGAAACACTTTTTTGAGGTTAAAAACGTTTAAACAATTAATAACATCAAAATCAACATTCACATTTCTCAGCGGACTTAATTAGAGTAAGTTGAAGTATCCCCTCCTTATTTTCCTGGCCCCTCTTAGCTTAAACTTGGGGTAATCCCCCCTCATTTTCTCTCTTTCTCTCTGTGTAATTCTCTCTTTGTCACAATCTCTCCTTACGTATTCGCTCCTTACGTATTTTTATTTGAATTACGTTATATTTGTGGTTCGGTGTTTTCTTTCCATTTCCTTTAGAAGCTTTTCATACTTTCTTTGTTTTTACACATTGTCTGCAAGTGTATCGAGAATTTCATACGTTTTTTGCATACTTTAGACATATATGGTAATTTTGCTGGTATTTTGGTTCATTCAGTTTTGTTAATAATTTCATATTATTATGGTTATTGTTTTTTTTTTCATTATTATTATATTTTACACATAGTTCTGTGAGGTTGTGTGGGTGTGTTGTGTGTGCGTGAGTGTGTGGTCCAGCTTACTAAGAAGAACATATCGCTTGGATTTCAATTAGATACTGGATGAAGTGGGATCGACGTATGTGGGTTTAGATTTGGTGGATTGGCTTTATCATATCAAGAAATAAGACTAGAACAAAATATGGAATTGGCACAGAAGTATTCGTTTCGGGGACTATGGGATTTGCACCGTGGAAAAGTTGACGGAGAAGATTCTTCCGAATCCGTTATGTAAGTGACATAATATATATAGTCTGAAGTGGAGTGCAAAACCCGGGATCAGTTTAAGTTTTGATTTTGGGGGTGGGAATAGGTATGATGATGATCGATGAAGGAGTTTGCTCCTGAGCTGCCTCTAAAATATATACTGATGATGAATAGTACTACTTGAGGGGTTATCATGTGTGTGGAGTGTGGATGATAAGTTTTTATTTCGATTTATTCGTTGATCTTTTGTCAATCATGCATTGTTGCTCTGCTGTTTTGTAGATTTGATGGAGAGTTTTGATTTGGTTGATTGGTTCGATTGGTTGGTTTTGGTTTTGGTTGATTGATAGATTGGTTGGTTGGTTGGAGTTGGAATTCATTACTTTCTTTTTCAGATTGGCTGCCCCCAATACACAATTGCTTCACGATTTTTTCAGCATATTCTCATAATAATCATAATAATAATCATAATATTGGTAATAATAAGGTTTTTCTTGTTCTTTTTTTAGAATTGTTTTTTTTTTTTGTTTTTTCAAAAATGACTTAAAGTAGTAAAGAGTGTGTGTTTTTCTTAATATTCTCATTTTAGATAGTTGTGTATGTGTGTTGTGTAAGATTTGTTTTCTCATTTTTTCATTTACAAATACAATTCGTTTAATACCTACAAATGCTTAAATATGATATATGTGTGTGTGTTGCTGTGTATATATAATTAAGTATATACTAGACCTAGATGTATATATATAGATATATATATATATATATATCGACTATATAAAGTTTTGCCGTTGTGTTCGTGTTGTTCGTCTGTGTTTCATGTAGCTGGTTGTTAAAAATGAGGAGGGATCTAATGGTCTAATGCTCTAATGGTCCTATGAAACGTCTGATGTTGCGATACCCCAACATCCAACTCTGGTGTGGCTCTAGTGCGAATTGAAAGAAAAACCTCTGTTCATTGGTTAATCGTTAATCAGCAAATTTGTTTAACAACTCTGCCATGTAACTTAAAATCTTCAATTTGTTTTGCTTTTCGTATGGGGCGTTGCTATGTCTGCTATCGAAATATCTGAATAAAACACTTTTAAATATTGATTTAACTAGGGCATTTCACTCGTTTTCCAATTTACGTTGCTAAATTCCATATATTCGTGTGCATTTGTTTTCTTAGAGTAAATGCATATTGCACTTTGTCGTGAACTTGGTTCTTGGGTATTCCTAAAAAAAAAATCTCTTTTTATGTAAAATAAAAAATACAAAAAAAAAAATTCAGAGTTGGATTATTATTTCTTTTTGGGTTCTTCAAAAATCAGACGTTTTTGGTGGTAAATGGAGATATATCGTTTTTTGATCTGGGGTCGTCCTGTTAATTTCTGTTGTTGTTTAGCACACAAAAACATAAACAAAATGCGCTAAATTCAATAAATTAAAAATGCTCTATTAGAGCGAGACAGGGGAGTGGGTTTTTGTGTGTCTGAGCGGGATGCATTGGTCAGTCGGTCTTAAAAAGCAATAATACCCTTTTATCATATCCCCTCTCGCTCCCTCCCCTTGGCTCATTGTTTCTGTCTCCTCCTATTTCATATTTCAGTATTGGTGTGCGTGTGTCAGTGTGGGTGTTCTTGAGACTAACTTAAAAAATGATAAAAACAAAAGTTATGCGGAAAAACACAATCGATAAACTCTACATACATATATCCGCATTGGCATATATATTTTTTGCGTGTTCTAATAGGGTAACTATGATATTATAACTAGATAAACCTATATCCAATTGAATTAATTAAGCCAATCGCTCTGTTCAAATCTCCTGATTCTGTGCGACTTAAGTATTATATCTCATCCTTTTCATTTTCATTATTTTTTTTTTTGCAATATATTTTTACACTTTTCAACGGGTTTTTAAAGGTTTTCCTAGATCCTAGACTGTTCATTACTCGTTCGAATCTTCTGTTCTCTGACTCAAGCCACGTCCGCCCCGCCCCGCCCCGCCGCCTTATGTTTTTAGGTATCTAATGTTAAACGATAATAGAATAAAAAATTATGCGGTCTCGGTTTCTATGTAGTGTGGGGGTCTATATCTCAATATTCTGATTCTGTATCTGTATCTGTAACTGAATCGGTATCGGTATCGGTTTCCGTACGTGTGTTTAGTGAGTTCTGTTGTTTGTTTCTTAAACAACGCATCTATATATATATATATATTTATATTTGCATATCTCTATGTATACTAATAAAAAAAAAAGGTTGTATAAAATAAAACAAACAAACAAAACGCGTCCTAACCTGCTTCACTGTCGCTCGAGTCACTCGAACTGCTATCACTCGAACTCGACGACGATGAATCGCTGGAACTGGAACTCGATGACACGGGATTCGCCGGCTGCACTGCCTCGACCTTGTTCGAAGCGGACTCATCTGCGGAGATAGGAAGAAAATGAGGAATTAGTATCGTTGAAATACAGGGTAACTATTTTTTGGTGTTAGTGAGATTAAAAGCAAGTTGCTATGGACTTGTGGTAGCATCATCATCATCATCATCTCATCATCTCATAATACATACCTTTCTTGGCGTTTTTCTTGCTTGCCCCCAGCTGGCCGGTGACGTCCTGCAGTCGCTTTTCCAGCTCCTGCTTTTTCTCTGCCATCTGCTCGTCCTTCGACTTGCCGGAAGGCTTTTTATCTGCGATACGGAAAGATGTTGGATCGTTTATAATCAAGTTGATTTTCACGGGTGGAGAGCTTGTGGGAAGGGGGGCGGGAATTCGATAGGGGTATGTAGGGATCATGCTCGAAACTCAAAATGTACTCAAAAGTTTGGGCGGGAAAAAAGGTAAAGCGGCAATGTCATTAGCGATGTTACAAAAATCTCTCGAGGTTCAAAAACCAATACTATAAGGTATCTGACAGTAGGCATTATCACATCTTACTTAGGACACCTGCATAATTTTAAAAGCTTTAGAGATTTCTATAACACATCGGCACTTCTACAGCATTCACAAGCTACTAGAGGAAAGGGAAAAGGATTTTTTGTATATATTTTTTTGTTTTACATGCACTTGCTAACTACAGACAGTTTATTGGTAGGACCTTGAGTGTTGAAAATCTTAATCATACGTATTGGCAGTTTAATTGATACATTTGGTTTATTTTTTTTCGAGTTTAACTAACTAAACATGACCACTACGGTTTTCGGTTCGAAATTAAAATCAAATTTGGAAGCGCATTCAGCAAAGCCAAAACGGAAATTGGTTTTTCTGTTTTGAATTTTGATCGGGCAATAGAAATTGATTTTGATATAGATTATTCTGTTGTCTAATGGCTCTTGTTTAGCTTCTAACTTTAGTCTTTTACTTGGTCTTGGTTTTTTATCTTTCATTAGCTTTTGCTGTTCTAGCTGATTTTGCTTTTGCTTTTGTATTTGCTGTTGCTGTTTCATTTGCTTTTGCATTTGCTTTGGCTTTTGTTGTGGTCTCGGTTTAGTTACAAACTTACAATATGGCTTACGTGTTTTTTTGCGCAAACACGACGCCACATAGCTTTCAAGCTCGCGCAGCGTCGACGGCTTCAGCGTCTCGAAGTCGATCTCGATTTCGTCGGGATTGGAGTCACGCAGCGATGGCTCCCGGTTCTGGATGATGTGTACCACACGGCCCAGCTTGTCACCTGCAATAAAAATCGGATATTAGTGGAGCTCTTATGAGGGTGGTTGGAATGGTCCCGTTGTCAGTTAAAATCTAGAGTCTGCTTCTTTAAAATGTAATTAGGATAATGACAATGTGTGTCTCTAGTTTACTTTATTGCTAAATGGTTGCGAAGATCTTGAGAGCTCAATAAAATTCTTTGGCAAAGGATCAAGAAACGTTAGTATTCCGTAAGTACTTAGTAAAAAGAAGTTGATGTATTAAAATAAATACCAATGTATGGTGTATTTTGAATAATAAGATCAATAGCGAAATTATCTTAATATTGAGGCATAATCTTGTGTCTGTATCCTTACTTTATAGATCAACAAAGCTTAAATACCAAAGAAAGCAGTGATTGAAATGCTAATCTCACCTGGCAACTTGTTGATGTCGAGCGACAGCTGGCGTTTCTCATCGTACGACATTGGCTTGGCCGTGTCCTCCTCCTCGGAGTCAAAGTTCATCACCTGGCTGGGCTTCTTCTTGCTGCTGCCGCGCGCACCGGCGCCACCGGTACTGGCATTCGCGCCCCCAACAGCGCCGCCAGCGCCTGCCGAACTGCTGCTCTTGGCCCGCTTAGATGCGTTGCCGCCGCCTGCTGCTCCTGCACCGCCAACAGCTCCGACGGCTCCTGCGCCAGCTGCAGCTCCCGCTGCAGCGCCTGCCGCATTGCCCGCAGCGGTGTTATTGCTACCTCCAACGCCGCCGCCTCCGCTGCCCTTGGCGCCGCGTCCGCCCTTGCTCTTAGCACCTTTACTGCTGCCACCGCCGCTGCCAGATGTACCGCCGGCTCCTGCCGCCGCGCCCGCTGCCAGAGCGCCGGCCAGGGTGCCCGCCTTGCCGCCTGTCGATGCGCCCGATGCTGTCACACCGGCACCAAAGCCGCCACCGGCCGCGGCACCGCCGCCCGCCAGCTGGCCAAAGACCGCCATGGCCGCGTCGTGAACCTGGCTGTGCAACGCCGCCACATTGGGAACGCCACCGGCGACAGCTGCTCCGCCCGGACCAACCAACGAACCACTGAGCAGTGCGTTGAGATTAGCGCCGCCCGCTCCACCGGCACCCATGGCTCCGACTCCACCCGGCACAGAGACGACGCCCGAATGGCCGCCGGATCCAGCGCCGCCTGCTCCGCCAGCATTTGCACCGCCGCCTGAGGCGTGACCATGATGCGAGGCCGATCCAGAGCCACCGCCCATCGACTTCTTCTTCTCCTTGAGTTTCTTCTTCGCCTTCTTCTTGGCGGAGGCCTCCTCGGACAGCTTGCGGATCTCCTCCTGCAGGCCAAGCAGCTTGGACTCGAGCATTTTCAGCTTGGCGCTGCGCTCCTCGTCCGAGTTGGATTCGTTCTCGGTGTCGCTGGAGTCCTCGCTAGACGAATCGCTGGCATCGTGCTTGAGGGGACCGCCGTAACCGTGACCATGGCCATGTCCGTGACCATGCCCGTGACCGTGGCCGTGACCGTGACCATGCCCATGGCCGTGCCCGTGATGGTGGGCCGCATTGGCCACCGGCTCGTCGGGGATGTTGGCGTAGCGCATCTCAAAGACGTCCTGCAGCTTGCGGCCCATGGCCACAACATCGTGATCTGGCGGATTGTACTTGTAGCAGTTGGTGAATATTAATCGCACGTCGGCAGCAAATTCCGGCGCGCTCTTGTACTCGCGATTGTCCATTTTCCGCTTGACAGTGCCCAGATCCATTGGCTTCTTGATGATGTCGTGATAGTCATGCAGGCCAAGCATTTCCGCGTCCACGGGCTTGTAGAACGGCCAGGCATATCCTGAGTGCTTCTTCGAGAAGAGCTCCTTGAGGATCTCGTTGCACGACTTGAGCGCATCCGATAGCTTCTCCTTGTTCTTGGCCACCGCAACGCCGGCCACGCCGCCGGCAACCAGACCGCCAAGTCCGGGCACTCCGGAGACGCCCAGCGGCGACATATTGTATCCCGAGCCCTGGAATGTAAGATCCTGTGGTTCAGAAGATCCCATCGTTTCGATTTTTTGATGAGTTGGTTGATTGGTGGTTTGTTGTTGTTGTTGTAGTTGGTGTTGTTGATTGATTGGTGTGGTTGGTGGTGGTGGTGTTGATTTGATCGATCGATTGATTGACAGAGTGCAAACAAAATCAACGCAAAATAAAAGAAAAAGAAAAATAAACGAGTAAAAAGCGGTATGGGGTTAGCATCGAAATAAATCAAATGGTTCAAAAAGAAATGATAGCGGGCCATGGGAAAGAGACTTGACTCCGGATATTGCGGGTCAAATAAGAACTCTTTCGCATGTCGCGCCTGGAGTATGATTGCAAATCATGCGAATGGGACTTGACTCTGGATGCACCGGGTCAAATCCAATCCGCACGTCTGCAGATATATATGAAATGGTTTTCGAGTAAAAGGCAGTACGGCGTATTGTGTATGATTTAAACGATTGTTGTTGTGCATTAAAATTGGATATTATTGTAATATCAAACTAAATGAGCTTGTTTCAAAAGAAATGTAAAAGGGAACTTGAAGTGATCAAACGTTTTGACATTAAAAACTAAGAAGATTAGATCTAATGGGTTCAAATTCAAGTGAATGATTGAGGTTACATTTAATATTAAATAAAATAGATTTATGATTATGATTCAAAAACTATACAATTTTAGTCGGAATTTTGAAAGCAAAAGGCGAACCAAATATTTTGTTCATGAAATATGAACATTTCTAGTTTCTGAATATACAAAAATGGTGGATTCAAAGTTTAAAAGCTGCAGTCAAACTTTGGAATCTTCCCGTTGACCTAATACTTGGGCACACAATGAAATATTTACAAACAAAGCCACATTTAGGTGACTCTTGAATATGTACAAGCTCTTTTTGGGCTCTAGGATCATACTCATACGACTGGCGATGCCCGTTACTCTTACCTTCTTGCCAATTACCTGACGATTCGACTCCCGTCGCGTCGCAATCTTGGCCGATTTGGAGTCCATTTGCGCGTAAGGCGATTCAAAGGCATTGGCCGTCGGCGTGGTCGTGTCCGCCTTTCGTTTGACGCCCTTCTTTATTTTGGCGGGCTGCTGCGGCGGTATCACGGCGTCCACACCAACGCTCACGCCCGCATTCACATAGGCCTGAACGGCGTTGGTGGCATTGACGGCTACAGATGGTATTGTCACTCCGGCGCCCGCTGCACCACCGGCTGCTCCCGCTGCACCGCCCACTCCCGCCGCCGCCGCTGCCGCTGCTGCTGCTGCTGCCGCTGCTGCGGCTGTACTGCCATCTAGAAGCGAGGAGCTGTTGACCGCCGTCTGGCCAGGGGCGCCGGGATAGGCGCCCGTTTGGCCCGCATTCAGAAGGCTGGCCATCAGGGCGGCGGCATTGGGATTGGCTGCGGCTGCACCTGCTCCACCAGCGCCGCCAGCCATCGCTGTCGTCGTCGTATTGGTACTGCCGGGTACCGTGTGCGGTGGCATTGTGCTAATCGGTGGTATGGACGGTGCACCGCCGGCCGTCGATGAAACCGTGCCGCCCATGGCGGATACGGGTCGGGCGGCGGTCGCTCCTCCCGCACCGGAACCCGCCTGAGCTCCTGGTGTACTCGCCGAGCCCGCTCCCGTCGCTCCTTGCAGACCGGACTGTTGCGCGGATGAGGCGGCTGCTGACACTTTGGTGGAGCCACTTCCCGCTCCGCTGTTAACTGCCGCCGAGGATGCTGTGCCGGAACCGGTGGTTGCTCCACCGCCAACGGTCGCTGACGATGTCTTGGGCGTAGCCGGCGCCCGTTGCTTCTTCTTGCCACCCTTGGCCGTAACCGGCTCCAGTTCGAGCTCCTCCTTGGGCATCGATTCGATCTTCTGCAGGAAGACCTTCTCGAGCGTCTGGGCCATCACAACGACATCCTCGCCGGGTTTGTTGTAGACATAGCAATTGTTGAACATCGTATTGAAGTCGTGTATGGTCTCCTTGGCGGACCAATAGTAGTTGTTCTCCAGCCGCTTCTTGATCGTACCCATGTCCATGGGCTGTTTGATGATCTTATGGTAGTCGGGCAGGTTGAGCTTCTTGGCATCGACGGGCTGTTGGAAGGGCCACGAGAAGTGGTGCTTCCATATCACCTTCATCACCGTCTTGATCAGATATTGCAATTGGTTCGTATTGCGGCCGGGTCGCTCCGCTGGCGGCACCACCGGTGGCTGTACAATGCCATTGACTGGCTCCACGGGTGGCTCGTAACGGGGCGGTGGCTCATTGGACGACATGGTGGTGGTGGTGGTGGATGTGGTTCCTGTGGTGGTTCTGGTGCTTCAGCTTGGGATGTGGATCTGCGGATCTGCGGATTGGGTATCTGGGTTGATGATTATCCGACTGAGACGGCCGACACACACACTCCACCTACACACACACACACACGGGCCGTCTCCGTCTCCTCCTGCGCTCCTCCTTGTCCTCCTTTCGATTTCCTTTCGTACGGATAATTGGGAGGGGATTTAGTGGGTTTAGGGAGGGGGGGACTAGTCTTATGTGGCCGGTGACCACCTCCTCCTCCTGCGACTGGCTACGCCTTCTCCGGCTATTCCTGCGACTCCTACTCCTGGTGATCCTCCGCCGCCTATCGTTTTCTCAGCTCCTGATCCTGCTGATTCTCTTCTGGTTTTTGATAAAAATCTCTTCTTGTTCAAGGGATAATGCTGTGTAGTGGTCCGTAGTGGTTGCTTCATGCTCAGCAATGTCTGTGCACTGCAAGAATGGGGGGGGGTAAACAAATCGAAATTAGTTGTGCTATTAGGAGCGTCTAGTGGAGCATGTGTACTTACCTCGCCTGCTCCAGATTCTCAGGGCCCAGGCTCCTCTCATTGGAATCTACTGGCTTCAGCTGATCCAAGGGCCAAGGATTTAGCAACAGCTACTGCTACTGGAGGCATTGTGGTATCGAATCCTTCTTTGTGTTAGTTCCAAGATTCCTACCGCAGGCGGTTGGCTTTTATAAATCTGCAAAAGAAAGTAATGGACAAGAAAGCCAAGTTAGCCGGCACATTTGGATATTTTGCAACTCTGGTTCGTGGGACGTGGGATTTCGATTTGCATTTGCATTTCACAACACTCCTCCACGGAGGGTTACATAAACAAAAAATAAATAAGGGGGCCCCACAGAAACGAAACGAAACTAAACTAAACGAAACGAAAATAACAATTACAATTACAATTACAATCTCTCGCTGAATGCGCGGCGGTTGCTATTGCCATAAACAAAATGCGACAGCGACAACGAATCTATGTAGAATGTGGAATATGCAGAGGCGGCAGGAAAACGGAAAACACAAAACAGAACACACACGGAAGAAGCAGAAAACGCAGAGAAACGACGACAAAACACGCACACTCGCGCACACAAGCCAAGTGCAAAACAATCAATTCCGGGCACTTTTTAACAGCAATCAAATCACTTGCTTCACAATATTCCTTGTGTTTATTAGTTTATGCGTTCGACTATAGATTCCAATTTTATTTTTAGCCGTTTTTTTTTGCGGTTTTTTGCCGTTTCGTTTAGTTTTTCCCTTCCACCGTTTTGGTCGTGAGTAGTTACTTTGCCGCCGTTTTGGCACTCACAGCAACAGCGAAACAGAGAAGAGGCGAACTGGCCGCTGAGAGCGAAAAAAGAAGAGCGCTCTCATTTTCTAGTTCGAAATTCGAGAGAGAGAGCGCCCGGCTCACACACACACACATATACACTTGGGCCGCACAATAGAGCTGTCTCGCTTGCACTCACTGGAGAGAGCAAGAAAAAGCAGGCAAATGGCGCACGCCAAATGATGCAAAATAAGTTTTAAAAAACGTAAGGAAAAATCCTTCAATAAAAACAATAAATATCCATTAATGCGAACGCACAGACCAAAGATTAACTAAATCCCACAACATGTATCCACATACACACTCACACACAGAAAGAGTTTGGCGTGTGTTGTGTTTGCATTGAGAGAAATTCACCACGCCGCCTTTTTTAAAAGTTCAATTCTTCTCATTCGGCATGATTCATTCGCTTTGTTTGTTGTTGTTGCAGCGCTAATGCAAACGCCATGCCAAAAAGGCAATAAAATGCACGTAATTTCAACGTTTCTACGTTACGTTTCTCACATTTTATTTAACACCCTCAACTAAGTGTGGTGAAGACCGGAGAGGGGTGTCAGCGAGGAAGAACACACGCACACACACACACACACACACAGTTGAATAGTTTGCCTTTTGCCGATATTCCAAATTGACAGTGGTACAAGTTGCATTCAAAGCTGCACATAAAAATCCATTGTACAGTTAGTTAAAATATGCCTCGTTCAGATTACGGTTTGTTTATTGTTTATATTAACTCTTAATCTGTAGGTCAAGCACAAACATTTGGCTTTGCTTTCTAGCTCCGATTTGTTTATTGGCCAACCGGAGATTTTTGTTTTTGTTGATGTTGCGAATTTATTTACACTCGCACACACACTATTCCACTTGTGTGTGTGCCGCCGGCCGGCAAGCGATTTTACTCTTCTCTTTCTTTTTTTTTTTTTGATCGCTTTCACTTTGGGCTTTACAGTTATCAGCTGTATTTATGAAGCTGCATTTAATTGTCCGATTTGGCCCACTGTGTTTTTGTTAGTTGCCAAGTGTGCGTATGCGAGAGTGTGTGTACGTGCGTTTGTGACGCAAAATTAAACGGAAGAATAACGAATACAAATACAAACGAAGGTAGACAGCAAGGCCAGCCAATGAATATGACGTATGTATTTGGCCCATTCTAAACCGCCTCGCCACAAATAAAATTGGAATATTAGAAATAACAAATATAAAATACACAATAGCGGGCGGGCGGCTCTGGCTCTCCCTCTCTCTCGCTCTCGCTCTCCTCTCACAACAAAACAAAACATTAACTGGCACTCACACACACACACACACACACATACGAAAACACCGCAGAGACGAGAGAAATTATGTAGTACAGTAGACTTTGAGTTTTGAACAGAAATTCACGTAGAACGATACGATGACGTAGAGAAGAGGAAGAAGCAGAAGTGGCGGAAGAAGAAGCAGAGACAGCAACGGCATGCATTGCAAATGAAATTGGGAATGGGTATTTTTTAACGGGGGCCGTTGATTAAAAGCCATGCTTTTTAATCGCTACAACGCCTTAATGGAACTGCTTTTGCGAAATCTCCTAACTATGAGAAACTAAACCTTAAAATGTACTTCCCATCTAACAAATAAACAAAGGTCAACAGTTTGTGGCGAAAAAGAGGAAAAAATCATATATTTTTTATTTACCTCGCCACTCGAACTCATGCACCAACAACTCAACAACTAAATATTGTTATTTTTGTCCTGCTTAATATCCATGCACTTGAACTACGGGCAAATATATCAATTTTATTTAAATAAATAAAATACTCAAGTGAAACACACTAGCACACACGGACACACATACTAGCCGACACTCTCTGCTGAAAGTTGCAGCTGCTCGCGCGTGCGATGGAGCGAGACAACAACAGGGGGCTACGTAATACGTAGCCAAATGCAAATATGGCGGCATGTCGTCTGTACGTGTGTGTGCGTGTGTGCCTGTAGTGTGGCATTCGAACGAGGAGAGAAGAGTCGTTGCCGTCGTTGTTGTTTTTGTTGTTCTTAGTGCCATCGTTGTGTATCTGCACAAAGAGAGAGAGAGAGAGAGAGCGGGCGAGAGACTGATAAAAGAGGCATGGAAGGGGGGAAAAAGGGGAGCCGCCTCTAGGTTAATAAATCGTGCTAATAGTGGCACGAATTTAAGGCCGGTTTACATGGCAACATGCAGCAAATGCAGAAGAAGCAGAGCCGCCAGAAGTAGCTGCAAAAAATGAAGAGCAAGGCAAGGCACCCAAAAAGCATCAATGAATTCAATTCGAGAGCGAGAGAGAGAGCCGACCGAGCCGAGCCGCCACACCGCAATCGCAATTTTGCGCTTATTTACGATAAACATATCTTCAATTTTGCGCCCCGACAAGTAAACAAACAAATTGCGTTTGCCTATTTACGCGCCAACTAGCAAAGTGCAGCAGCAACAACAATTGCACCCAAACGAGAGCGAAAAAGCAAAAGGGTAAACGCAAATAAACGAAAATCCTAAATGCCGGTAAAAAAAAATCATGAATTTAAAAGAACGAGAGGGAAAAGGGAGATAAAGAAAGATATTTTCCAAGGAGTAGCACGATCTGAAGGATGCAAAGATACAAATTTAACCAAGAATCTACAAAACGCGAATCAATTTATGATGCCCTTAGGTCGTTTAAATAAGTCAGTTTGACTAGATCTTGACACGAATATGTAATTAAATTACAGGCTAGTTATAATTTAACCACTAGTTGATATTTATAATTAATTCTTTACTCTTCGTATAGTTTATTTTAATTGAATGTACTGTTTAGGACAAAAACTATACATGTAAATGCCCATTTTGTACATCGTTGGATGTATATTTTCTGTCATATCTGAGAAGAGATTCCAAAATCACTAGGGAACTATTCAATTACAAGTAAAATGCTGGGACTATGGATTTCCCAGCTCATTTGGAAAAGGGTTGTTGTTGCAGTTGAAAAAATCCGGCTAAAAGCAGCTGTCGTTTCAAAAATCCCTCCATTTCTAGGGGTGGCTGACCCTTAAAAGCAAATAGTCAAAAACCAAAGTAGTCCTCAGATCAAATTTAAAAAAAAACCAAGAAGACACGATATGATTTCTGCCCACTGTGTGGGAGGGGGTGGCAAAAGGGGGGCAGGGGCAAAAGCCACGTGCGCTACACTTTTCCAACTTACATTTCCTTCGGATTTTCCCGTTTTCTTTCTACTTTTTTTTTTTGGTGATATCCACACGTTCTGTTGCTGATTATCCGTTTATTGGCGATAATATCCAAATATATATCCGAAGGATTTTATGATTTTGACTTTTGTTTATGGCCGCGTTGCTACTGCTGCTTGTTGTTGTTGCTTCTCTTGTTGTTGTGTGTGCTGGCTGTTGATGCTTTAGCCATGTTTAGCTTGTCGGTTTTGTTTGTTTGTTGTTGTTGTTGTTGCTTAAAACTGTGTTGCGTTGCTTGCTATTGTTGTTGTATTTAAATTGAACATATACAACATACAGATTGTACACGACTGTTAAAAAGTTGCAACTGTAAAAATAAAAACAAAAAAATGGTACACTTTTATATTGACACTATTTTCATTTGAGATTTTGTGATATTTCCGATTTGCGCGCGCGAGAGAAAGAGAGCGAGAAGCGAGAAGGGAGAAAGAGAGCAAGAAGTCCCCAGCGACAAAAATAACGTAGCCCACAGCGTAAGCCTCTGCTGTACGTCACCGCGATACGTCACGCTACGTAACGGCATGCCTACGTTACCGACGGCGCCGCAAAGCCGCAAAATCAAAAAATACAATAACAAAATCGAAAAATTATAGATTTTCACTGTGCAAATCGCTATATTGCTTGCGAAAAACAACTAGTACTAGTATTTCTCTTTTGTTTCCCTCCATTCCGAGCAAAACTTTTTTCGCGCGCTTCGGCGTGTGTATTCCTTTTTTCGTTTTTTTTTCTTCTCTTTATTTGTTAATATTATTCACTTGGTGACTACACACGTTCACGCTCATGCCCTCACTCGAACACACACACACACGCACGCACACATGCCTCGCACACGGACGAGCATTTCTGCTTCTTCTTCCTCCTCTTTCGTTCGCTTTTGTTCCACCACCGAAAAAAAAATGAAAAAAAAAAATTGTCATGTCCATTGAAGTCTCACATTTTTCAAATGCATTTTTTGGCGCTAAAATAATGGAAATTTCACAATTTTTCCATACGCATCGGATGCCCCGCAATTAGCACTTTACACCGATCACAAATTTATATAATTTTTGGCCATTTTTACCATAATTTTTAGTAATTTCTACACACCGATATATACGTACGCGCTACGATTTTTCGACAAACGCGCGAGTTTCTTGTGAGTAACGTCGCTGTCGCCATCAAATATACAAAATTTTTTTCGAAATTACTGAAAATGCGAATACACACGCACACACTGACAGCCGACGGGCACGAGGCGCACGCTCCGCTTCGGTTGAGCGAGCGAGAATGGGACGACTATACACGGTTCCAAGATGGCGTCTCAGCGAGGTCACACGCCATCCCGCTCTGGCGCATGGTCCGTGGTGGTGCCGCAGAGCGGGATGCCGATAGCAAGCGAGAGAGCGCGTGCGAGAGTGTGCGTGTCTGAGAGAGTGGTGAGTTTCGTTTAGCGAGTGCTCTATCCCGCTTAGCGAGTGCAGCCACCTAAACAGCGGGCACAGCACACCCTCGCTTCTTAGTATGACCAGTTGTGATCCCGTAAAACATCCGAAAATATCGATGTTTTCGAATGTGTAGAATTAGAAAACAATCATTAAACAACTTTTCTTTTACAATTTACCAGGCTTGGAAAAAAAAGTTAAAAAAAAACTTCACATGGAACTGCCTCCTTCACATTTGCATTTGTATTGGATGATCACAGATACTCGGTTTTTTTTGTGTGATTCCGATTTTGGTCAAAAATACTCATTTTTTAGTGGGTTTTCAGTCGTAGTTTAGCCAAATCAAGGCGTACAGCTAAGAGACCAACTGTTTTGAGCCGCTTGCTTCAATTGCTATCGATCCACATAACTTTAAGGAAGATTTATTTTTTGACGAATTTTTTAATTTTTTGTAGGGGGTAGCTCGGTTTTTTTTGGGATTCAGATTTTGGTCAAAAATACTAATGTTTTAGTGGCTTTTCAGTCGTAGTTTAGCCAAATCAAGGCGTACACCTAAAAGACCAACAGTTTTGAGCAGCTTGCTTCAATTGCTATCGATCTCCATCACTTTAAGGAAGATTTATTTTTTGACATATTTTTTCATTTTTTGTAAGGGGGTAGCTCGGTTTTTTTTGGGATTCAGATTTTGGTCAAAAATACTAATGTTTTAGTGGCTTTTCAGTCGTAGTTTAGCCAAATCAAGGCGTACACCTAAAAGACCAACAGTTTTGAGCAGCTTGCTTCAATTGCTATCGATCTCCATCACTTTAAGGAAGATTTATTTTTTGACATATTTTTTCATTTTTTTGGGTTTTCAGTTTTTTTTGGGATTCAGATTTTGGTCAAAAATGCTCATTTTTTAGTGGTTTTTCAGTCGTAGTTTAGCCAAATCAAGGCGTACAGCTGAAAGACCGACAGTATTGATCAGCTTGCTTCAATTGCTATCGATCCCTATCACTTTGGGAAAAATTTATTTTTTGACAAATTTTTTCATTTTTTGTAAGAGGGTAGCTCGGTTTTTTTTGGGATTCAGATTTTGGTCAAAAATACTCATTTTTTAGTGGTTTTTCAGTCGTAGTTTAGAAAAATGAAGAAGTACAGCTAAAAGACCGCCAGTTTTGAGTAGCTTGCTTCAATTGCTATCGATTTCCATCACTTTAAGAAAGATTTATTTTTTGACAAAAAATGTGAAAAATTAAAAATTTTCAGGTTTGAGTGCCAGTGGATTGGAAAATAAGCAAAGAGCTTAACGAGGTATGACATTCCTCGAACTGACGTTAATTTTCTTTTTAGCAGCCAAAAAACAGAATTTATAGGGCGAAAAAATGGGATTCAAATTTAAGTCAAAAATACGAAATTCAGATTTTAGTCTGGTTTCGTTCTCGATCGATCTTCCTTTTTCTAGGTTAAGGTTTGTTTAGGGCGTTTTAAAATGGAATTTAATTGAATAGGGCTTTTGCTTTAGAAGAAGAATGATGTGGTGAAAACTCGATTCCAAAATTGGAGGATTAAGGCCAGGACTCGAACCACTGATAAGTTAGCGTTGAAACCCTCGCAACATTTTAGTATGCCCGTTCGCAAGGTTAGAGGTATGTTTTTGGCACATACTACGGTCTTACCAAAATACTGGGAGGAAGTCACGGCTAAGCGAGCAAGGACACCCCACCAACCTTTGGAAGACCGTATACTTGACATTTTTGATAAAATATAAATGGTAATTTTTGCTTTATGCCAGACGGCATACTTATTACGGTCACACTACTCAACCAAGAAGCAGTAAATATTAATTTAATCCAAATCCAATTCCCGACTCCAATTGGCGGTTTCGGCTGCTGCAGTCAAAGTTGTTTTTTTTTTGTGCCCCAAAAAGAGTTAAATTCGCTGATTAGGCGAATAACGGTGGCAAGTAACTGCAATAACTGCGTGTGTGCATAGTGCTCGTGTGCGTGTACGTGTGTGTGTGTATGAGTGGAACTCCACAAGTGTGCGAGAGAGCAAATCAAAATAAGAAAAGAACCGCCCTGATGGAAATTAATTTCGCGAATTACCAGCGAAAACGCAGCGAAAGTTAAACCAAAGTGCTTTCATTAAACAGATAGCGAGTGAAATAAGTGGGGATTACGTAAGAAATCGATGGATTCCGGCTGCATTTGGCCAAAAAAAGGGGAAGAAACCTCGAAGCGCTCGTTTTTTTTATTTTCTCGATGATTTCATTCGCAGTGACGACACACAGGCACGCACACATGGAGCGCCGTATCTGTGTGTGTGTGTGTGGGTTGTTTGTTGAGCTAAAAAAATAATGAATCCTCAAGCATACATTTTTCGTATTTATTTATTATTTTTTCGAGTGCAGATCGGCGACGTTGCGACGCCAGTTGTTGATTACGCCTTGGTCCCTCTTTATCGCAACTTCCCCCACCCACTGATCACTGGAGTACGTAGGCAGGAGCAAACAGAAACAAGAAATTCAGTGGCGTAGGCAGAAGATTGTCGAGGGGGTAGCCAGATTTAAAATTTGTGAAACTCCTAGAATTAAACTATCTTAATTTTAAATAAATTAACTTGCTGTCCGAAGCCCTGTCAATATTCTAATTAAACACTCTCTTTGAGCACGCCACTGGTTCAACTAGTCCACCCACATGTGGGCGGCCCAGATGTTGTTCGTTTTTACCTAGGGGGCGTGGGCGTCCAGCCATGGTAAAAACTCTGGGCTGCAGATGCTGTTTATTCAAGGGGGTATCCACTTTTGGGCTAGGAGTTTGTTATGCATCAGCCATAAACAATTTGTAATTGTAAAAGATACATCATCGTAGAAAAACCTATGATCGAAAATACATATGACTAACTGCAAGACTCATAAATGATAATGGAATTTAAAAATCTATAGGCTTAAATCCAAAAATTTTCATTACTTTTTTGTTTTTGTTTTTATGCTGATTTAAAATTATCTTTCGAGTTCAGTTGAAGTCATGATATAAGGCATGGGAATTAACTACAAGGGTATATAAACATGGACTTTATAGTTTTTTATTTTGTGTGTGTGTGTTTGTATGTGCTTCTTTTTGGCGGCACGATTTGCTGCAAATTGTTTTCTGTTGTGTGTGCGTGGGTGTTTAAAAATAGCCAAACCATACGTAATCTGCAGCCCTTTATTTCTCTTGCATATGGAGTATGGAATTTTTGATTTTGAGTATGAGTGGATGAGTGGATTGGAGTGAGTGATTCATTCAAGTTAGGCGGAAATCAAGGGAGACCAAGCTGACTCAATGACTACTACTCACTGTTCGGCCTTTGTTTACATTTCGCCAGGAGCAGAGAGAGGGGCGAGAGAGCGTGCTAACGGAACGTGCTCGAATGAGTAATTCGCAATGCATTCGATGTTAATCGAAAGCTCTCTTCCTTCCTGTTCCTCTTGCCCTTCCTCTCCCTCTTCTCTCTTCTCCTATTTTTCTTTTATTCTTTTTGGACGCCAACAAAAATCACGCACACCCACTCGCCGCTTGTCGCCTGTGTGCGTGCGTGTGTGTGTGTGAGAGATGAGTCATCTGGCCAAGTTGATGAGAAAATAAAATTAAACATTAAGGTAGAGCAGAAGAAACAGCAATAACAAAAAAGGGGGCCATTTGCCGTTGTTTGTTGTTGCAGTAAAAAAAGCAGGCCAGCCGGGTAAAGCAGTGCAAGCAGCAGCTGGACTTTTACATACACCTGCGGTCGAAATACTAGCAGCAAACTGAAAAACCAAAATCAAGTACACAAAATATAGCCATAAATTAATCACTTAAAATTATATTCCGCATATTTTTAGTCTTAAGCCATATATATCTATAAAAAAGGGAAAAAATAAATTAGCAACAATTTTGTTAAATTAAGGGTTTGTTTAAATCTCGAAAATTAGTATATGTTTAAACTTTTTGTGACAGATAAAAGTTTTTTGAAAAAATAAAATGTTATTTTCTGTCTTAAAGTTCATAGTTTACACTTTTTTAAAATTTTTAAAAATGCCAAAAATTAATCAATTAATTAATATACATATATCGTTTTTTACTACAATTAGAAAATGGGAAGCAACAGTGCTATTATTATTTCTTCCGCAACTGTAGTCCTTGGAGGCAAACCAATCCATTTGTAGAAACTAATCAGTTCAATTGCTTTTCCATTGCAGCCGGCGCACAGAAGCGACAGAGACAGAGCACACAGCACTTGCACACACCTCCTGCATCAATCCCAACCAGAGTCATGATCCTCGAGAGAAATCGGGGGAGCCAACTGGCCCTCCTCCTGGTCGTTTTGCTGGCCACCATCGCTGGACAAACGGAGGCCCAGAAATCTGCCAAACTGACGGCGACTGGAACTTCCTGCGCATCCAAGCTAAAGTGCAACACCTGCATCCAGGTGGAGGGTTGCGTCTGGTGCATGCAGCCGGACTTTAAGGGACAGTCGCGTTGCTATCACAACTCCAGCCAACTGTGTCCCGAGGCATTCCTCTATAACCCTGAGTCCACGGTGACCATTCTGATGGACGAGCAGCTAACTGCGGCAGGATCTGCGGCCAGTGGCTATCACTATGAGAGCAGCATGAGCGGCAGCAGCAGCAGCAGCAGCTCCAGCTCCTTCAGCCAGAGCTCCCAAAGCTCATACTCCAGCAGTGGATCCCAACACGCCTCTGGCTCTTCGTCCAGCAGAATTGTCCAAATCCAGCCGCAATCCCTGAGCCTCAAGCTGCGCGTCAGTGAGTAGTCTTTGCCCTTGCATTGTCTCACCCACAGAACCTAATCCTAATCCTAATTCTTCTCGCAGATGAGAAGCACAACCTGAAGGTTAGCTACTCGCAGGCGGTGGGTTATCCGGTGGATCTCTACTACTTGATGGACCTTTCCAAGTCCATGGAGGACGACAAGGAGAAGCTGTCTGCGCTGGGCGCCCAGCTGTCCACTGCCATGAAGAACATCACCTCGAACTTCCGTCTCGGCTTCGGTTCGTTTGTGGACAAGGTGCTCATGCCCTATGTCTCGACCATTCAGAAAAAGTGAGTATGGCCCTAAAAACAAAAAAAAACAAGGACTAGTTAAATCCAAGAGCTGGAAAAAGTTCAATTTAAAGTTGTATAAGTTTTTATCTTTATTTCATAAGGCTAAGTTTTTAAATTGTTAATCATACGTTTTTTTGTTATATCATGACTTGTTTCTTATGATTTAAACGATTTATCAAGTTAAAGTTCCTTCTAAGCTATGTTACTACTAAGAAACTCTGTAATAGTCATAGAATTGATAATTCGGATGGATTTATCAGCGATTTTTGGCGAAATGACGTTAACCAGCCCATCAAGAAGCGACTTTTGATAGCTGCCATGAGCAACACGTCCGGTGGTGACCAACAATTTATCAATACAAAATTCCCTAAAAAAAATCCTATCGCTTATTCCAAAACAAAAAACAATTGTAACCAAATCATTTGCTCTTTTTTAAAATGTGCGCAGCTCCATTTTTGTAGTACCTATATGCTGTATGTCTACTTTTGAGCTAATTGTATAAAATTTAACAGACCAAATCAGCCGCTAACTTTGTTAATTATTTATATACTTACAACCAAACCATGAACACCAACAAACAACAAACAACTCTGCAACAACATCACCGATCGACGGAATCGAATCCAATCAAATCAATTCGAATCGAATTGTAGACTCGACCATCCCTGCGACAACTGCAAGGCTCCCTACGGTTACCACAATCACATGCCACTCAACAATAACACCGAAAGCTTCTCTGTAAGAGACGATTAATCGATACTTAGCCTTATAACCACCACCTAATTGTGCCTGCTCCCATATATCAATATGAATATACCTATCTATCTGTCTATCCATCTATCTATCCACCCATCTATCTGGATCTGTATTTGTGTGTATAGATCAATGTGCATGTTTCCCCATAACTCTATGTAGTGGCCCCATTCCATATTCGGTTATATCCCAAAGTATCCCATTGCACCTCCTAGTTTAAGCATTAGTTATAAGTGTTTGTCGTCTATACTTTTGTGTGTTGTATGCCGGATCGGGTTATCGCGCTGATCAGCACATCTTTACATTTTTATCCACACTCTATAGCATATTTATTGGTATCGTATCTATATCGTAATCGTAATCTATCTGCACTACTCGATGTTGAATTTGATTTATTTGATCTTTTATGTTTCATTCTATATTTCTTTATTTCATTGTGTACTCATCAATTTCTCCATATAAATCTGGACAATATATATTGTACTTGTGCATTTGAAAAATGTCCCGTTGCTTGGCTCGAAATTTGAACAAAACATTGCGAAATCTAAACCAAAATTAGCCTAATTGAGCCGTGTACCAATTGCACTGCAACATATGGCTATCGTCACAGTCTGAGATTGACTGAAGACGCTGACAACTTTACTGTAAGTGGTCAAGTCCCATTGGATTTGAAAACGGAATTATCGCACCCGCATTCGAAAGCATTTTGGCCCAACAACCATCCTAACACTCTTGTCATTCCAAGTTTTGGATCATGTTTGGCATTTGGCATGTCATTTGCATAAGTTTTTGCATTAAATATTATTAATATTATGATCTTTGGGTTTGGTTATTCATATCTAATGCATGTAACTTAACTCTAGGTTGTAATATTCACTTAGCTAAGGCATAGTTTACTTATATAGCAAACATATTGGTGGTGGTTCCATTGCATGCTTGGCTTTTTCGTTAACGTTGTTTGTGTTTCTTATCTGCTGACACACCCTAAAAAATTCAAAAAGTTTAAAGTTCTAAGAACGAAGGGAAGAAAATAAAAATATTATCATATATATACGTTTTTAGAGGAACTGTAAGTACTCTTTAAAATTATTTTCAAGAATCTGAGTTTAAAAAAAAGTATCTTTTTATATATTATATACCTTATATCAAAAAAGAGTTTAGTTACTTTATAAACGGTTTCTCATTTCTGAAAACGATCTAACTATAGTTGATCTTGACCCAATCCTATAACTGACATAGAAACGATGGTTTCTCATTTCTAGGTTCCAAATATGGAATTCTATTCCCCTGGCTACCTGAGCCATGCGTATTAATCATATCTGACTGTACATATATATATATATATATATCTTATCGTAGTATAGAAGCAATTGTTATCTTGAACTTATATTGATAGATGGCTCAAGGTTTGAAAGTGTTTGCTGAGATATTTAACCTTTTTTTCTGACAAAGGAGTTTATTTTTATTCCAACCAAATAATCCGGCTTTTCAAACAGGGTGTGTCAGCTTACTTTGCCCCACAAATCCACCGAACTAACCCATAAATCCCTCAAAGAAACCCAGCGCTAATCCTTGATCTCTGTTCACCAGGAAGAGGTGAAGGCTGCCAAAGTATCGGGTAATTTGGATGCACCCGAGGGTGGCTTCGATGCCATCATGCAGGCCATCGCTTGCCGGTCGGAGATCGGTTGGCGTGACAGTGCCCGTCGCCTGCTCGTCTTCTCCACGGACGCAGGATTCCATTATGCCGGCGATGGCAAGCTGGGTGGCGTGATTGCCCCCAACGACGGCGAGTGCCATTTGAATAACCGCGGCGAGTATACGCACTCCATCTACCAGGACTATCCGAGTATCTCGCAGATCAACCAAAAGGTCAAGGACAATGCCATCAACATTATCTTCGCTGTGACCGCCAATCAGTTGTCCGTGTACGAGAAGTTGGTCCAGCATATCCAGGGCTCCTCGGCAGCCAAGCTCGATAGCGATTCATCCAATGTGGTCACCTTGGTCAAGAGTGAATACGCCGTAAGTGTTCCTTAAATGATAATATATACTTTGGACTCTGTTTATTCCATTGCTTATGCTTTGCAGAAAATCTCCTCTTCGGTGGAGATGAAGGACAACGCCACTGGAGATGTGAAGATCACCTATTTCTCGTCCTGCCTGAACGGCGGCCCGGAGATGCAGACAGCCAAGTGTGAAAATCTGACGCAGGACAAGCTGGTGACCTTCACCGCCCAGATCCAATTGCTCAAGTGTCCCGAGGATCCGCGCGATTGGCGACAAACGATCCACATCTCGCCGGTGGGCATCAACGAGGTCATGGAGATCCAGCTGGAGATGCTATGCTCGTGTCCCTGCGAAAAGGAGGGACACTCAAGCTATACCGTGTTGGCGGACAGCTGTAACAAGCACGGCACCTCCATGTGCGGTATTTGCCAGTGCGACGACAGTCATTATGGCAACAAATGCGAGTGCAGTGCCTCCGATATAAATTCGAAGAATGCCAATGATGCCTCTTGCCGGCCGGATAACACCACTTTGACGGACTGCTCTGGCCGTGGTAATTGCGTTTGCGGCACCTGCGAGTGCCACAAGCGTCCCAATCCTCAGGAGGAGGTGTCCGGCAAGTTCTGCGAGTGCGACAACTTCAGCTGCGAAAGGAACAAGAACCAGCTGTGCTCGGGCAAGGATCACGGCATCTGCGAGTGCGGCCAGTGCAAGTGCAAGCAGGGCTGGGGTGGCACCAACTGCGCCTGCCAGGAGTCCAATCACACCTGTGCCCCGCCCGGCGGCGGTGACCTGTGCTCCGGTCACGGCACCTGCGAGTGCGGTGTCTGCAAGTGTAATGCCAACGAACAGGGACGCTTCTCCGGTCGCTTCTGCGAGAAGTGCCCCACCTGCTCGGGCAAGTGTCAGGAGCTGAAGGATTGCGTCCAGTGCCAAATGTACCATACGGGTGTGCTGAAGAAGGAAGAGGATTGCGCCACCAATTGCACGGCCTTTGTGCCCGTGGGCGTGGAGAAGGTGGAGATCGATGAGCACAAGGACGAGCAGATATGCACCTTCTTTGACGAGGACGACTGCAAGTTCATGTTCAAGTACAGCGAAGTGCAGGGCGAGGGTCTGAAGGTCCATGCCCAGGAGACGAAGGAGTGCCCGCCCAAGGTTTTCATGCTGGGCATTGTCCTGGGCGTGATTGCGGCCATTGTGCTGGTGGGTCTGGCCATTCTGCTGCTGTGGAAGCTGCTGACCACCATTCACGATCGCCGGGAGTTCGCTCGCTTCGAGAAGGAGCGCATGAACGCCAAGTGGGATACGGTGAGTTTTTGCCAGGCTCTCCAAATAGTTCACCCTTTTTGATTCAAAATCATTCTTTTTGCAGGGCGAGAATCCCATCTACAAGCAGGCCACCTCCACCTTCAAGAACCCCATGTATGCGGGCAAATAAATCCGACATCTAACTAAATATTAGGGAAATATAACTTGATAACTCGTGTCGTTCAACTAACTACTGGGCGACGACTGTCTGTGCTTGAACCGAAAACCAGAAACCCGAAAACAACAAACAGCCTACCAAATTAACCACCACCAATAAGTCCACAAAAACCAATCTTCAGAACCGACTCCGAACACATCGACGAAGCTGCTTTGCCCGGGTGCAAAACCACTGAAGTCAACTGCCATTGAAACGCGTTCTAAACTAAGTCAACCTTATATCTATATATATATTTATATATACATTTACACAAGAACCCCGCATGTGGGGCAGCCTTTATACATTGCGTATACTTAACGAGCAAACGATTTGTGCCTTGCAACATATTTTAGACTATATCTATACGTATATATATACAAGCAAGAAAACAGACAACGCACACAACAGCAACAACAACAAGCAGCCGGAAACGGAAGTAACAAAAAAAGAAGAAGAAAAACAGCCAACAAACGTACTACGAACGATAGTTAGATATATGATTTTTGTGTTCTTTATTGTGCCCAAGTAGTATCCCAAGCCAGCACATGAATTTGTATTTTATTTTACACTTTAATTGTAATTTTTGTTTTGTGTACTTTCCCTACTTCTAATTATTTTTTCATCGAAGCCTTTATTATTAATAGAAATGGCCAGAAATGGTAAACTTAACTGAAATGCTACCCTCCCAAATGTCTTGTCCTTCGTCACGCCTCCCGTCTAAATGTTTTTCTATTGTTTTTAAAGCTAACTTTACAATTAATATTTAAGCTATTAACATTTAAGCTTGTACTTGTTAATTTCGAAATGCAAGAGAGAGCCCTAGGGACATTTTGTTTTTCTGTGAAATCTTTTCATTTTTTACTTTTGTATGTTTTTATTTATGGAAAAAGAAAGCAAGAAAAGAGGGCAACCGCGTGGAACAGAATGGATTATAGTCTCTTGTGTGTGTTTTGTTTTATTGAATTTCGATCATTAATAGTAAATTAATACTACTATATAAATATATATTTTTTGCCATTTGTACTGATTACTGATTAACATTTAAAGTAATACAAAACCAAAACAAAAACTTTTGTATAAAAAACGAAAATTATTTTGAGTAATTTTATTGAATGATATACCAATACAAAATGAAGTGGAAACACTAGCAATATAAAACGAAGTGGAAATTAAATTGTTTGACGCTAATTTTAGAAAAATAAATAAAAAGAAACTATAAAAAAAGAAGAAACAATTTCGATTTCCAATTTTATTCATTGGGAATGGTGCTGAACTACGCATCCCATAAGTATTTGAGATATAACAATTTGGCTGTGATTTGATTTTAAATTACTTTATTAAATGAAAAAGCGATACAAAAATAAGGTGTCTGTATACAACGCTAAAAACACTGAAAATCAAGCGTATAGAGTTCGAGACTTACTGGCATGCGGATCACGTTACTGGCAGCATTGAGGGTTTTTTCTTTTCCATTCGGTCATCCAAACCATTTTTCCCCCAAAGGAGACAAACTCACTTTCAGACTGTATTCTGCATTTGATTCAAAAATGTCAATGGAACAGCGAACATCGGATGGCAATATCGGATGTGTGTATAACATTCTATAACATTTTGTATATATCGTTGTATACATGCTTTGATATTCAATTGGGGGGTTCTGTTTTCGAAACAAGTCTAGGCATTTTTACGTACTATGTAGTGTTAAAATATACGGGATACGGATCGGGGGAGTAGCAGTTCTATGTACACGATAATATCGATGACGAGGGACCCGACGCCATTTTTGGATTGGCTTGAGAGCTACCACGGCGAAATGGTGTTTAGGGGTTAGTTGGCTTAAGTACGGCTTGAGGTGGATGTGGCTCTGATGCATCGGATCGGAAATCGTCCGGAGCTTGAGGCATTTTGTTTGGCGGAGACTGGACGGCTCTTGGAGCGCTGCTCTCCTTTTTCTCATTCTCTCGATTCCGTGGTAAACAATCGCCGGCGATGGGCCCTACAGCAGCAGAGTGGTATCAATGCGCCGGCCATGAGGCTCGGGGGAACAAACAGGTGCCATTGTGCCACAGCACCCGGTAGCTCCCACACTCACCGGCCCCGGCTTCTTACGGTTCCGGCAGCTGGGGCAGCAGGGGCAGCGTCTCAGTGGAAGATGAGGTCCGCATCGGGTGCGCCCTTTTGGTGCTTGAACTTGTGCTTGTTAGGCTTCTGGTAGTAGCTCTGGGTGAAGTTGCGCTGCTGCGGCGGCAGGAGCGATTCCTGATAGTCCTCCTCCTCGATCCGCTCCGTTATGTTAAGCGTAAGGCGCTTGACCTTCTCCTTCTCTTCGCGTATCTTCTGCTCCTGCAGCTTCAGGTTGATGGCCAAATGGGAGTCCGATGGCGCCACGAATGACTTGAACTGCTGTTTGCCGCCCTTGTTGCCACGAACCATCAGCACAAAGGGCACGGCGGCAACGGCACTGCCTCCGCCCACGCTGCTGCCGCCGCCACCGCCTCCTCCTCCGCTTGCTTTGCCGTTGCCCTCTGGTGGCTCCGCGCCCGGGGAGCCCGGCATTGCTTCCTGAGTAGCCGTCGCCTTTGAGATCTGCGATGGATTGGTGTTGTTGCCACTGCCGGAGGTCTGAACCCCCGTAATCTGTTCGTAGGACTTCTTCTGCAGTCGCGCCATCATCGGCACCGGTATGTCCTTGGCCGTGGCCTTGATCGGCTCCTTCAGTCGCTCTTGGTAGGAGTCCGTGGTCATCTTCTCATACAAATGCTCGAACTCCAGGTCTTCCTTGGACTTCTCCGGCGGCGGGGGCGGCGGCAGCGGTGGCTCTGTCTCGTTCTCTGTCCAATCGTTGCTCTGCTCCGGCTCCGGCTCCTGGCCGGCCACTTGTCGCTCCCGCTGATCATTCGAGGATCCCGAGTCCTCGTCGGTGGCCTGCCAAAGTAAGAAATCGAATATGAAATCTTTGGGCAAATATATTTTTGTGGAAAAACCTACGCCCTCGTCTAGCTCGCTTATTTCACTGATGCTGGTCATCGACGGATCCTGAGTATTGCTGCTGGCCTTTAGCTGCGGATAGAGCTTCTCTTGCAGCTGATCAATCGCCGCCTTGGCCTGATCCAGGCTCTTGTACAACTTAAGCTTGGGCCGTACACCGGCCAGGCAGTCCCGATAAGTGTGGTCCACCAGGATAGGAAACAGATCGGAGGTGTTCTCCGATTTGCTGAACACGGGGTGGGATTTCTTGAACCAGTAGTAGTGCTGGAAGAAGACCAGGAAGTAGTCCAGTCTGAAAAACGTTAGAAAGACAGCATTTGAACGACTCTCTTAAAATCCGTGCCGCTGAAAACAGGGCTGATCGTACTCACTTTTTCCGCGTGGCCTGGCTGGTGAAGTAGGGCCCACAGGTGTCCAGTAGCATGCAGGCCAACTTCAGCCGGAACAGGCTATCGGGCGGATCCAGTGGCGAGACGACACTTTGGTCCATGGACACTCCCAGCGAGATGATGGAGTACAGCGTATTGAGGATGTGGGTGGACTCTACCAGCTTGTAGTTGTACATTTCGCCCAGGTACTTGGCCATCGCTATGCGCCGCTGGGCCATTCGTGGCGAATGGATCTCTAGGCCGGCGCGGATGTCCTCGAACACATTATCAATCACAATGGTAACCGCCCGGGGCTGATATGAACTCAGTCCGGAGACGAGATCGGCCAGGCAGCGGATGAGCGGGAAGCGCAGCAGGTACGCCTTACTGAGGCACTTGATTGCATAACAATTGGTTTCCGGATCCAGCCAGTCAATGCGGCGCAGCATCTTGATGCAGCGCTCCACATTCTGTTTGCACAGCTCCTCAAAGATCAGGTGTCGGATGTACTCATGCATGGGCGGTCGAACCGTGGGCTCTCGCTTCGACGACTCCGGCGGCTTGACCAGATAGTAGACACTCTCAATCTGCGCCGAATGCCGCGAATCCATTGCCGTTGCCGTCTTCAAGCGCAGCATCTGGTCCAGAAACACATTCATCAGCAGGCGGGCATCTCTGCAATTGTACAGATACACGCCGCTGACCTCCACAAAGGCACAAGCCATCTCGATTTGATGGTGCTGAAAATCCCTCAACAGCATTTTCAGACATCCTAAGGCATCGAACTTCTTGAACAGCCCGAACTTGACCAGTTCGCCAATGAAACGCACGATCTTCAGCTTGGACTCGATGTTCAGCTGGTTCTTCTTGCGGATGTGCCACTTGAACTCCTTGCGCAGCAGCTCTGCCAAATCGGTGGCCACATCCGTGTTGCACAGATGCACAATAGCCACAAACCGGGAGAGATAGGGCAGGATGTCCAGGCGAGTGCGTTGCACCGAGAATATGGTCCGCGTCAGCTTTTTACGCTGATGCTTGGTGTTAAAGTTCAGCAGGAACTCGATGGCCGCCGAATCGATTAGCTCCTTGTTCACGCAGTTGAATAGATTGACCAGAAAGCCGTCAAACTGCTGACGCATCTGGGTTTGCGTCTGGCTCGGATTCTGACTGAGCTGGCCTTGTTGCTGTTGCTGGCGTCCCAATTCCATCAAGGCGCTGCCCATCTTCTGTGGCTTCACATCCTCCGTGGGGGCAACTGGCGTGGTGGGCTGGTCTTCGCTGGCATTTTCCAGCGCCGTATCCGAGGTGGTGGACGGTGGATCATCCAGATCCATTTCGGCATCTAGATTGGCTTCAATGGCTTCCTCGGTCAGCTCACTGGGCTCTTCTAGGGTTTCCAAATCGACTTTGGGTGCCGAAAAGTTGGGCAGGAACTGCCGCAAATCAGGTAGATCTGTGTAGAAAGCACGGGTCTCCTCGTCGCCCCAGGGATCGAGCACCCCGAAGGCGGCGCTGTCCAGCATGTTGTCGATGACCGTGCCCGGATTGCAGCACTCGGACTCCTTGGCCAGTTCGGGCAGTGGTTCGCACAGCAGTTCCGACAGCGATTGAGCGGAGGCCAACAGCTTATCGAATCCGGCCTGCATTAGCTCACATTTCTCCCGCTTCTCCGTCGAAATCTCGCCCTTGCACTCCATGGTGCGCCGGATGTTCTTTGTCATGTTCATCAGTTCGGCCTGCTCGGCCAGCACATGCTTGCACAGGGCCTTAAAGTAGCCCTTGAGCATGGTGCGCAGATTGAGCTGCTTGTCGGCGGAAAGGAATTCGGATTTGGGCACCTCCACGCCGTATTTGGTGGCCAACTGTTGCATCTTCTGCGGCACCAGGCCTGCGTACTCCTCGCCGCAGTGCCTGCAGAAGGATAAAATGATGGAGAAGTTGCTGTGGTCATCCTTATCCTGGGCAATCAGGTGCACCAGGACTATGCCCAGTTGGGCCAATCCCGGTTTCATTTGAATCACACCAGAGCTGACTAGTTCGGCAAATAGGCGAAGATCAACGCGAAGTTTGCTGGGGTTGCCGATTTTCTCGCTGGCCTTAATGTTCAGTGCCTTCTGCCAGGCCTCCAGGAACTGAACATCGAAGTCGGCATAGGTGCAGTGCAGCCGGGAGGCCAGTGTGACCACCGCCGGCACATCGGTCATCTTCAGCTTGGCCTCGGCCAGGGCAGCGCATATTTCGGAGATGTACTTGCTCAGATTCAAGGCGGATAGCTCCCGCATGAGTCCATCCAGCTGGGTGGCCGTGAACAGCTTGAGCTTCTTGACAAAGGCCGTGTTCTTCTTGAGGTTGGAGTCCAGTTTGGCGAAGTATTCCTCGCCGGGCAGCTCGAATGTGGAGTTCTGCAGCCGCAGCTGCCGCTTGCTCTCGATCTTCTCGCTCAGCTCGTTGATGAACTGCTGCAGTTCCTCGCGCTCCTCGGCCTCCAGGGCATTGGCCTCCGCGTCCGCATCCGCATCCGTGTCGTCGTTATCACCATCAACCTCGCCGTCACCCTCGCCCTCGCCCTCACCCTCACCCTCGTCCACATCTTCCGCTTGATCTTTGCCAGATTCCGGCGGTGTGGCCAATTCTGTTGTTGTACTGCTCGCCACCGGCGCTTCCAGAGCGCCTGGTGTTGCGGAATCGCTAGCTAGCATGGCGGCAATTCCTTGACGGGACTCGCAGCGCCTGGATTCGATTCCCAGTGGCTATGTTTTGAAATTCAATCTGCTGGCAAGTTGTATTTTTTGGAGAGCTGGGAGTGATGATTGGGCACAGTTTCTATGTGGGATAATCACCTTAAGGTGGTCAATCGTGGGAAGTTCTCTGGCGACAGTTTTATATTTAACAATAGCCGTTAATCGACTCGCATTTCCTTGTATTTCCCACGTTTTTCCGCCACGATTTTCACGATTTGTTTTTAATTTTTTTGTGATGTGTTATCGATATCAGCCGTATATCGCAGAACGATAGGCAGATACACTAAAGCCAACGGATATCGATTTCGCAATGGTCGATGTCACGGGTTAAATATCGATTGTAATACCGCCAAAATAAAATAAAATTCAAACAGGAATTATTTTAGCTTTGCCGTTTTGGGTCACCTTTTACTAGTTTTTGAAAATTTTATAATGGAAAACACACAGTAGTTAGCATATTAGTAGTATTTTTAAACATAGTCAAACATACATCATATACAACAAGAAAATACAAAAAAAAACAATTACTAAAACTTAATAAACGAAAAAAATATATAGTGGACACAGAAGGAGGACGAACAGAACTACACTTAATCCCTGAAATCCTTGGTTTTGCAGTTAGAATCTTTGCGGAAGGCAGCTTTGTCCGTTGCACCTGCTGTACTCCTTGAAACATTCCACCATGTACCAGAACCAGTTCATCTACTCCCGCGAGAGGCGTCGCTTTGGACGGCAGTGCCGGTTCCAGGATCGCAATGAGCTGATGGTCAGCGTGCATCCCAGTGGCCGCCAGCGGCTGAAGTACATCATGCGCAATCCCTCGGTGCGGTCCACCCAACTGAGTTGCCAGATGGCCCTGACCATCATGGAGACGGAGAACGTGACCCTCGATCAGCACGGGATGTACCACTACGAGGGCGGCTGGCCCAAGGAGGTGAATCCCTTTGACGAGGAGCAAACGCAGCGTCATCGCAAGAAGGTGGAGCGCGAGGATAGCTGGGGTGAGCAGGTCCTGGAGATGATCCGGAGCACAATGGCCGTGGCGGAGCAGAACAACACCCTGAATATCTATCAGAACTTCTTTGCGGATCTGCCGCTTGATTTGGGTCACGACCTCCGGATGAGATTCCGAGCCAGGGTGGCCAATGTCTTCCATGACCTCTGGCTGCCGTCCCGCCGCTTAACCTCCATCGAGTGGATGCCCAATAATAACCGCCAGTTTATGACCCAGTTCACCAACCAATTTCAAAGTGGCGACCGGTTGCGATTGGTCACGGATGAACCATTTGGCGACACCAATGCCTTCTTCGTGTGGGACGTGAAGAATCCGCTCAAGCCGAAGATTTTCCACGACAGCAAGGTGCCAGTGTCGCTGGCCAAGATCTGTCCCAAGGACGAGAACAACATGGTGGGCGGCACGGGGCTGGGGCAGGTCTGTGTGTGGAACACCTTCAAGGGCGGCCTGCCGGTGCGCAATTGCCCACTGGAGGTGTCCCACAGGGAGACCACCTCGGCCCTCTGCTGGGTCCACTCCAAGTCCAACACGGAGTTCTATTCGGGCTCGCTGGACGGTTCCATCAAGTACTGGGACACCAGAGATCTCAAGATGCCCATGCAGGAGCTACTCCTCGAACCGGAACCGCAGGAGCGTCAGTCCAGGATGGATTCGCATGGGGTAACGGTGCTGGAATTCGAGTACACCATCCCGGTGCGTTTCATCATCTGCAGTGATATGGGTCACGTCTTTGTGGGTAACCGGAAGGGAATGACTCCCACGGAAACGCTTCTGGCCCATTATCAACTCTTCGCCGGACCAGTGCGCAGTATCAACCGTAATCCCTTCTTCGTCAAGAACTTCCTGGTTACGGGAGATTGGCGGGCAAGGATCTGGTCAGAGGAGGTCAAGGACGCACCCTCTACGATGTATTTCCGGAAGAAGACACAGATTGTCTGCGGAGCCTGGAGCACGGGTCGCTGCTCCCTGTTCGTCACTGGAGATCTGAACGGAGTGGTGGACTTCTGGGATCTGCTGCTCCACCATCGACTGCCCATTCTCTCGATTGACTTCAAGGTTCCGATTGCGGATGTGGTCTTCCGGCCGGATGGCGATCTCTTGGCCATTGGCCTGAAGAATGGCGATAGTCACATCTTGACCCTGGATGAGTCCATGCGACAGGCTACTGGCAAGGAGAAGGCACTCATGGCAGCAGTACGAACCGAAATCTTAGTTTTAATATTTTCTTTGAAGAACACACTTGCAGAAAGATTTGAATCTTCTATCTATCCTAGCCTATCTAATATACCCAGTAAAATTAAGAACGTAAAGTCAAGTTCAATTTTTTCAATTTGTCTTCTTACTTATTCGAGATGAAATGTTCTTGAAATCAAGACAAAAGTACTCTCAAGTTTGTTTTTCGAGATGAAGCGATCTTGAAATAGAATTATACGATTTTAAGATTATCTTGACTCAACTTTGAGATTGACTAAACGGTTTTGAGGACGGTTTTTTTACCGTACAGTTAAAACACTGACATTCTTCACCACATGGTTCCTGCATTTTGATTCGAATCTTTATCATAGTATAGGTCTTGTAGAAGCTTCGGCATTGTAATCCTTTTAATGATCATTAATTTTCCTACAGATGTTTGAGCGTGAGATCGTGCGGAGTAAACTTCTGGAGGCTCGCTATGATGAAGTAAGGCTCAAACGGAAAACCCTTTTATTGGCGGAGGAGGATCGTTTGCGGCAGGAGAAGGCGATAGCCCCCGTTCTTGAGCTGGATCCCGACAATCCCGACCAGTTCGTGATGATGATCGAGGGCGACGAAGAATTCCGCACGGCCATTAGTGAATTCCATGATTTGATACTTAGTGTGGAAAGAAAGCGCTCCAAGAGGCAGGTGATCATGGAGCGCACGGTCTTTGAGGAATGGAATCCAGTCGATGAAAAACTCCAGGGGGACCCCGTTATATATACACACCCCGAACAGAAAGTGCAGCTTTCACAGAACTATGAGAAAAGGTTTTCTGCAGAGCCAAGGAGTTCGCAAGGAGCTGTTAAACCCCAGTAAACAGTTTATCCAAATATATAAAACATAAAGAATCTTCCAATTCCTATTATATTACCATTCGAAAGGTATATTATTATTCAATAGAGGCTGTGTTACTTACTTATCGAAAATAAGTATATTTATATTTATATAGGGAATCCAATCCAAGGGAAACCTGAAAATCTAGCTACGATGGGGAAAACTCACCGGATGAACAACCAGATAAGCACATTAAACCAGCCTCTCGGGTCAAACTAGCGAAACAACATTTCATAACTTTATGGAGTACTCTTTGGAGACCTTTATTACGACCAACACAATTAGCCAGACAACGTTAGCCTTTAATTAAGTAACAACCTTTCTAACAGCTAAATTGAGCTTGCTAAATTCACTTTTGATATAGCAATTAGTTGCACTTCTCTACACAGCAATTAAGAGGAGATAATAGTAAAAAAAAAAAACAATAAAGCTCTATGACCTACTGGGGGAGAGTAGGGTGTTACATCCAAAGCACTAGAGTGGTTCTACTGCTTATCGGTATCAACTCCCGTGTCGAGAAAGTCATTCACCAACCGCATGGCCTTGCGGGGAATCAGGCGACCGATCTTCTCAATGGTCACGAAATGGCGGGGAATCGCGGCCTCCTCCAATCCCTGTCGCTGGGCCTCGATAATCGAACCGGCGGCCACCTCGGGGGAGATCAGCTTGAACAGCTTGGGGAACCGGTAGCGGGGGTTCTTGCACAGACCCGTGTCGATCATGTAGGGAAAGATGGTGGTCAGCTTGACCTGGAAGGCAAATGGAGATGATAATAGTAATATGGATCAACTTGGGTGTTGTTAAATACTTGCAAAAATTTAAGAAACTGGCAGTTCTGAAATATCTCTTCAAGAATTCTAGCATTTACATATCTAGGTTAAGAGAAATTCTAAAGAATTCGCGTTTGATTTTTCATATATTTTCATATGTAGTACTATTTTGATAACACTGCGGTACAGGCCAAATTTTCCCCTACTCTTCTTTAAATGGTAAGGTTAAATTCTGTATTTTTTATAACCAACTAAGATGCACGCTTAACAAAAAAAGTGAATGCTGAACCTGTGCATTAACCAGAAAGTGTAAAAAAAACATTTAAATCTTAATGCGCTGGCAATAAACCAAGTTATTTTAATGATATTCTATAACTTTTTAATTGGGACCCCAGCTTGAATGTCATGAATCACTAAATGGTGCTAAAAAGTGTAAGATTAAGTGATACTTACATTGTTATTGGGGTTCTTCTGACGCAGCTCCTCGGCGAGGGCGGCCATGTAGCCGCGAACGGCGAACTTGGTGCCACAATAGGGCACCAGGTTGATCAGTCCAAAGAGTCCAGCGCAGGAAGATAAGGCCACAATGCTGCCCTCGTTGCGCTCAATCATATCGGGCAGGAAGGACTGGATGATCTGGGAAAGGAAAATATCATATCCTAGTTAGTTAAGGTATACATAGGTCATAAGATTGTTGTTCACATAGATATCTCCGTATGCAGAAAGAAATATTTATAGGATCAATGGTATATGAACAGGTAAATGAAATCAGATCTTTTATAGTAAAGGTCGTATGACACTTGTCAAAGTTTTGACTAATTCACTAGATTTATCTTTGGAAGTATATCTTGATTCCATAAATATATTATATATATTTATAGCTTGTCTTGACTTTCTATAAAATGCAGTTAGGTAGTCGAAAGTTCAGCCAGTGTCATAGGGCTATAACTTACCCAGTAGTGGGAGAGCACGTTGATGTCGTACATCAGGCGAATCTCGGACTCGGTGTGCTCCAACAGTGGATGGCAGGGCATGATGCCGGCATTGTTGACCACCACATGGACGAAACCGTGCTCCTTGCGCACCTTCTGGGCCAATTCAATCAGCTCCTCACGCTTGGTAACATTGCACACATATCCGTGGGCCTTGCCTCCATTCGCCTTGATCTCCTTGACGGTCTGGTTATTGGTCTGCTCGTTGACATCCCAGCACAGGATGGTGGCACCCAACTTGGCATACTGCAGGGCCATCTGCTTGCCCATTCCGTGGCCAGTTCCGGTGATCAGGACCACCTTGCCGTTGACCTCCTCGAGGGGCGCCGGTCGGAAGAGTCCCACGATGGCCTCGAAGATGGCGATCCAGAACTTGACGATCAGCAGCACGATGTCCACCACCAGCAGGACGATATTGTAGATGTCATTGCTGTTGGCATTGCCATTGTCAGCACTGAAAAAATAAATACGTGGCATATTACTATGTATCATAATAAAACAGAATCTCTTTCGGTAGCTGTACGCCTTGATTTGGCTAAACTACGACTGAAAAAACACTAAAAAATGAGTATTTTTGACCAAAATCTGAATCCCAAAAAAAAACCGAGCTACCCCCTAACAAAAAATGAAAAAATTTGTCAAAAAATAAATTTTCCCTAAAGTGAAAGAGATCGATAGCAATTGAAGCAAGCTGCTCAAAACTGTCGGTCTTTCAGCTGTACGCCTTGATTTGGCTAAACTACGACTGAAAAACCACTAAAAAATGACATTTTTCGACCAAAATCTGAATCCCAAAAAAAACCGAGCTACCCCCTTACAAAAAATGAAAAAATTTTTCAAAAAATAAATTTTCCCCAAAGTGATAGGGATCGATAGCAATTGAAGCAAGCTGCCCAAAACTGTCGGTCTTTTAGCTGTACGCCTTGATTTGGCTAAACTACGACTGAAAAACCACAAAAAAATTAGCATTTTTGACCAAAATCTGAATCCCAAAAAAAAACCGAGCTACCCCCTTACAAAAAATGAAAAAATTTGTCAAAAAATAAATCTTCCTTAAAGAGATAGGGATCGTTAGCATATTAAGCAATCTGCTCAAAACTGTCGGTCTTTCAGCTGTACGCCTTGATTTGGCTAAAATACGATTGAAAAACTGGAAAGAAAAAGCGTATTTTTGACTAAAATCTGCATCCGGTAGTTTTGACCAAAATCGGAATCCCATTTCAGCGCCCTAAAAATTAATTTTCTTTGCTGGTTTAATGAAAATAAAATTCAGATCGAGGAATGACATACCTCGTTGAACTCGTTGTTTGAAACATAGAACTCAACGTAAAAACGCTCATGCACTTTATAGCTTACTTAACGGGCACACTAACCTTTAGTTATTACATTCAGGTGTTAAATTTAATATCAAATTTTAATGTAGGTTACTGGCCCTTTTCGTAGATAGGTATGTGAAAATGAATAATTTATTATGTGATCCCTCTGATCTATAAAAAAAAAACTAATTCTGATTATAAATTTAATTTGCTGTTACAACTTTATAGACCGTATGGTAAAAGCTTTGTTGTTGGTAAGAATAATAGTATCAAACTTGAGGGATTGCAGTATAGTGCTATGGTTTTTGTGGGAAGTGCGTGTTGCTACTAATTTGCCTTTTGATCTGAGCATCATAATTATAAAGTGGAGTAAAGTGGAGCGGAATGGAGATGAAATGGGATTAATCCAGACTACAACTCTTGCATGACCCACAGCCATTTGGAATGTGAGTGTGCGTGTATTTGCCTTATCTTCCAGTCCAGCGACAATCGGATGACCTTTGGCATCCTCTATTGTTGGCGATCTATATAACTTTTTTGTAATACACGGGGAAAAAGTATATTTAAAACTCAAAAGTTTTTCATCTTTTAAATATTAATGCATATCTCAAAAGATTTCTTTGATTTCATATTCACTTTTCGGTTTGAAGATAAATAATTGTAATTATTATAATAGATCCAGATCTTGTGAACTAGTTGCATAGAGCCTCATATAACTTTGTTATCTGGTAATATAATATTAACACGATTAACACGATAAACTTTGTTCTCTTTTTAATGGATCGTACGAAAGTGGTGCCCCAAAAAGGGGGCGGGCGAAATGGGTGGTTCCATCTTGGGTCAGCGTTTTTTCCCAGCTCGTGTTCTGTAATTACATTTCTGACTGCAGCTGCGTGAGATCTTGATAATGCCGAACTGTTTTGAGCATTTTGGTTTTGTTTTGTGTATTTCGCCTTTTGGCGTTACGTATTACGATCAGCACAAATGAGGCGTACCCATATATTACAGTATATATATGTTATATGTTCAACCAGATCGTGCCATCGACTTGACCAACCCTGACCATGGCCTCGGTCCCTCTCGCTCGCGCTCTTTCACTTTCTATCGCCCCATCCGGCTCCCGCATTTCACTTCCATAGAGAACACTCTTATCGCCACACTTCTGGAATGCTATTTATAGTCAGTCGATCGGACCAAAATCGTGCTGAACCCGAACAGCCCACCTAGATAGTTCCATTCAAATGCACAACCAAAATTGTGATGATTCTGTGCACTTGAAAAATAAATCATTCATAAAATGTGGTACACTCATCAATTTGGAAATTTCTTATGAAAGAGTATCATTAGTTTTGATATTAGGGCTATCATAATATTCGTATATTTTTAGATGTACCATTTTTCAGTTCCTGATTTTGAAATATTAATCATTATAGATTATATACCAAAATACTTTCACAACCTAAAATATATATCGTTTCTGATTATAAAATACTAATAATTTTATATTTTATATACAGATAATTTCGGTCCTTTCACAACCTAAAGTACATAACGTTGTAATGTTTTTAATAAAATCCGAACTTTTTAAAAGTAAATCCCCTAGGATTATCCTGTTGAGCGACCATAATTGAAGGTTAATAACTGAACACGATCATTGGTCAAGGTTTGCGGGGCAATTTGCAATAGTTAAACTAAGTCGGATGAAGGTGAATAGCGCTTAAGTGAGCTGATCCAGATTGCACAATGGTCAAAGGTTGACACGATCATCATCCATAATGGATGGGTTAGTTTGGAATTGTTCAAATGATCTAAATCTATAATGGCTCTCTGAGCCAATTATCCAATGGAATCGAGATTACGTTCCGGAACCCGTTGAACCCTGCTCCTGGGCACTGGTGGTAGACCCCCAGATAAGGTTATGCTATCGCCTACTGCAAATATATTGCACTACATGTGTATACATATTGTGGTCCGATTGATAAGATAGCTGATTCGTTCTCACTCTCATATTTTAATTTTCTTGTTACCAACAGCTCTAATTTTCGTTGATTACAAACCTTTGCGACACTTTCGACATGTTGATTATAGATCGTAATATCCTTTAAGGATCGTATATATTTAATAATTATATATACAAAGGGATCTGCGCGAACGATCGGAGCAGCCGGAGCAAACCGTTAGCGGCTGTTAACGAATTCGGACTGAATATTCAGCAAAGTAAACACTACGCACCGTACCGCCACGCCGGTCTTATAAGTTATTATTTCAAATCTACTCACACACACTGCCAGGGGTTTTCAGATACTATATGGTACACTACTCGCAGATACACTCTGCCGGCAGCGACGTCGACTGAGGCGCCGGCAGAGCGTTCTATAAACACGACTACGACATATGTTCAATGGCACTGCCATTCCGATTTATTCCATTACAATCCGATCCGATCTATATGGAACGACATCCAAACACACAGTGCAACGGTTCACCCGGTTCCCCCATTAGTATTTGTTAGATAGCAGCCGCCTGTTAGTTAATCGGGTTCCGATAATAATACCCCAAATGGGGGGTGCACTTGTACCCCGAGCCGTAGCCCATAAAAAATAAAAAAAAAATGCTATATGTGTCATATATAAATACACACAGCTAGCCGGAGTTTACGACCCAGATCGTTCAGATACTCAGATACTGAGAGCGAGAAGATAGAGCGATGCCAAAGGTGGCAAGGGTGCCACAGGGGTGCTAAAGTAGATGCACGTCGCAGATACAGCACAAAAGCTTCGGCTGAACATTATACGGTTTCAGTCGCAGTTCAGATCGGTTCATCGGGCAGTTACTCTTCTCGTTTTGAATGCCTCAGCATGACCAAAGCGATATCGGAGATAAGGACTCCAGGATGATCTATGGCCCCACTTAGGGGTAAATCTTTAAAAATTGAAGGGAAAACGAAACTGATGATATATACAAAAACTTTATAACAGTTCTTACAACTTTAGTTTTCAAAGATCGGTGATAGGCAAACCTATCAGTTTTATCAAGAATATTATACCTTATGACTAAATTTATTTATTTAGAAAAGGACTACAGCTCAAAAAATTATATAAATTCATGTATTACTATACAATTTTTTACTAAACATATCTTTATATTAATATCATGTTAAAGCTTAAATTCTCATGTCTGATATTCCTAATCAGATTGCCTCTACCAAGTTATGGAAATGATTATATTTTTTCCCTGTGCACTACTTGACCCCTGGGACACCTGAATTTGCGATTAGATTGGAGTCCTTACCACAAATTTGCGCAACGAGTTGCCAACTAAGCATGATGAATCACTTTTCGACCAGGGTCAAAGTATTAAGTTCCACTTCCACGAAAAAAAACCCAACCCATTGCACCTCCTGAAGAGTCGACCAAGTAGAACCCAACCCATGAAGATAAGAGTTCGATTAGTCAAACAAGTTTGCAATCAATTTGCGACCGCATACTTTGTATTCCTAACTAATAGATAATACTGGGTTGTTACCATACATTTATCAGTCATCACAAACAAGCGATTCCATATATACCGATATATTCCATATAAACGAGGGCTTAAAGTATTCTGTTTGATTATTTTTTGTTAAGGTTGCATTGTAAACTATTCCATCATTCATGAACAACGGGTTTATTTTTACATTGCATCAAAGTATTGAAAATTTTGTTTAATTGTTTCTATTGGTTTTTTACAGCTGCCAATGAAATTAGTGTTTAAAGACTTGTGCTATTTACTGATTGGTCTATTAGTTAGGGCTAAACTACTTTTAAAATTATATTTATTAAACATTCTTAAATGTAATATCTTAAATGAAGAACATTATAATTATTTATTGTATATGGCATTATTCAGATTTTACAGATTTGTTACTTTGTTTGCCGTTTATAATTAACGTTTGTTCAGGTTAGGCATTCATTAATCTTAGGTATTACCCGTTTGGAACTTGGAATATATTAAGGAATTATATTTGTAGATGATATTAAAAACCGAAATATACCAAGAAGTATTCCGTTATAATAGTTGTTTCTAATAATTATAATTAAAATTATAATAAATTGAAGTTAGAGTAGGTCAGAACATTTTAGTGTATTATAAGCAACTATTCGGATAATCCGGTTATTGTTCCGCCAAGGCAGCATCTTCCTTTCCGGCTACTCGAACTTGGACACCATATGCATACTATGTTGCACTCATTCCGGTTATCCGCCGATCCGGTCCACCTTCCACTCGCCATGTGCCATGTGCCATTTGGGATTCCAGATAGATCGGAGCCCCTAGGGGGCAGGGGGCCTAGCGTAACCCAATGAAACAAAACAATTCCGAATAGAACAAGCTTTGGGCGTTGCATGAATGCATTCAATAGATAAACAAGATTCGTGACAATTCACTAGTCGGCGTCTGTATCTATGCGGCTATAGTTGTAAGCACACATGCACATGCATATATATTGCAAGTTATGGATGCGGCTGGCTAATCGAATAAATTAGCTCGCATTACCGGACCGGTCGACTGGCTGGGTTGGCTTATTGTTTCACCCGACGCTTGCATAAATATGACGCCTTGACGGCTCATCCGCAGCATCCATCTCCATCTCAGTCTCCGGAATAATCCAAAAATGGATACGTATACGTGCCAATTACAGGTTAGCGACTACAAATTGCACCCCTGTCGTGGGTCGGGGTCACCACAGTCAACTATATACCGCAATTAGTCTTAACGGTGTCCACTAATCGAACCCGCTATACGTCTGGCTATTACTCGGGGTCACCAGTTCAGGTGTGATTTATGACAAGATCCTAAGCTATTGACTAAGATCCCATAAAAACTTAAAAACACATATGAATGAAATGCACTACTGTGAGAGATGAAGTCCTAAAAATCACCAGGTCACCTTTTTTACAAAATTTGACGATTAATCGGGGTCACCAGTTTAGGACACACTTCAACCTATAAATAAAATGTACCAGAAGAATTCCTAAAGACCACTTTGTCACCTATCTTACAAATACTGAATATTATTCGGGGTCACCAGTTCAAATGTAATTTATGAGAAGTTCCTAGCCTACCGATTACATAACCACCACAAAATCATCCAAATAAAATTAATTTAAGTACCATTCCAGAATTTTCACAAAAATGATAGTTCAACGTTTATTTTTATTATACTTAATAGATGATAGATATAACAAATTCAAGGGTACTATAGAACCAGATGCAGATCACACCTGCAGCGTTGAGAAGAAAGAAACCACGGCGCTGTCCGTGGGAAGACACTGACCAAAGGCCTCGATTAACAACGGTTCGGCTGTGACGGTGCCCATGAAGTCCTCCAGGGATACCTGAAATTGATGAGATGACTCAAGGGGCCCTAAAACTAACAATCATCCTCACTCACCTTGCCGTCCTTATCCAGATCGAACTTCTTGAGCACAATCTCCACCAGATCCTTGACCCCCTCGTCCGGATCTTCGTCCTGTGGCTGTTTGATCAGGCAGTTTCGCAGCAACGTGAACATCTCATCCTTGGTAATAAAACCATCAGTGTTAAGGTCGTAAACCCGAAAGCAAAAGGCAGCCCTTTCCGCAGGAGTGCCTCTTAGAAATGTTGAAAGTCCAATGAGCCAACCCTCAAGGCGAAGGGGCAAACCCTCGTGGGCCTTGTCCCAGCTGCAAAAGATGCGCTCCATCAGGATTTCCTCGGTGACGATGTCAAAGGTGCTGTGCAATAGCTCACGGAACACAATGCGATCGATTCCCTATGGGTTATGGAATTTAAACATCGCTTCTGAGGATCTTTTGGGATTTTCCTATATACAGTATTTTTACCTCCACAGCGGCATGTGGCTTAGCAATCGCTGCACTCGAGGAGCTGGAGGCCAAAGTCTTTGCGGCATATTGACAATTGGACACCAGTTTGCGATAGATGCGGCACAAGGCATCCAGCTCGTCCCTGTTTGGGCGCCATATGTTAAGTAAGGCACTTCACGTATGTAGTTTATATGAACTCACTTGGTGAAGCGGGTCTTCTTTCGTAGGCTGTCCAGCAGCTTGGGATTCACTTTGCCGCTCAGCTCATCCATCCTCCGTTGCCGCTGTTGCCGTTTGTTCTGCAAGGCAGCCGCGGCGGCCTTCGACTGTTGGTTACTCGAGTTGCGCTTGCCGCTGGCAAGGAACACGGATACCGTTTTCAGTATCGTTTTGTTGGCATGTAGTGTGGATCTGCCGGCGCCAGTGGTGCCTCCAGTTGCTGTGGGTGCCGCTGCACCACCACCACCACCACCACCACCACCACCACCGCCAGTGGTTGCCCCACCATCCTGACGACTGGGTGTCGGTGTTGGCGAACGACCCTTGCCGGCGCCCGCCTTGCCTGCAACCCGAAAATTGCCAGTTACATGGGTGCGTGTCTATCTGTATCTGTGTTGGTTGGCTGGTTGGTTGGTTGGTTGGTTGGGTTCCTACTTTATGTGTCAAAGTCGACACGCTCACTCCCGCTCGAGTTTGGCCAGAAAAGCCCTTCAAGTATGTATGTGGAACAGAGCAAACAAAAGGCCTGAAATGCAAATGGGCCTCACATCCATATCACCACCACAATCCCCCCATTCATGGCCCATCGAAATGGGTAATAGCGTTCACATTCTGCCCATAAATTGTTTCAGCCGGCTATTTCGATTCAAATGCACTGAGAGAAACCAATAGTAAGGGTCTGGCCTGTCAGTGATAATAAGGGATACAAAATACTGTGCCATTCTAAATTTCAACTTGTAAAAATTTGTATTCTAAGGGCTTCGAGTATACTTTTCCTTTTTTACACATCTTGCTTTTTTCACTCTTGATCGATTTTGGATTATTTTTAAAGAGAGATGAGTTGAAGTTACATTTTTCAATATCAATTTACCATTATTCAATGGTTAAAATGTTACTTTTAAATTTAACTAAGAATTTTTAGTTGATCTTGACACTTATTTTCTTAGGGGTAATACATTGGCTGCAGGCGCTACTTTTTTGGGGTACTTTTATCTTTAATCTAATGCTTCGAAATAAGATGGTTATGCTTTTTTTTTTGGTGGGAAGGGGTTTTCTATGTTTTTGTACCCCCTTAAACATGTTAATACTTTTGAAGCTGTTTATCGTATGCCTAAAAATACAATGAAATATCCCCTTTTCTTAGAGTGCATTCATTTACTTCTGTGTTCACTTTGATTTCAATCTGCGCTCATACTGTTCTGTTTTCTTTTGTTTCATTGTGTCGTGCTGCCTTTGAGAAAAATGTTATTATCTTGTGATTACCCATATAAGTAGAGGAGCATAGGGGCCCGTCTGTCTATCCATCTGTCTGTTTATGACCGCCTCCGCCCTAGACACTATAATTTTATTAGCATTTCCATGTGCTCCACTGGCGGGGGGGGGAGGTTGGTAAAGTTTAGGTTTGGGTTCGGGCTTTGGGGCCCTTGAGAACAGACTGTCTAGACCCGTTCCTATGTACGGCATACGGTTTCATGTAATTTGTTGATATCGGTTGCCCGGTTGCTACACGAACACGGTTGGGGTCGCCACCCACACTCGACCACTCCCGGATGGGGCAAATAAATCAAACATGTTTGGACCTGGCAGTCCATCAACCTGTGCTCCGCCCAAAATTGCAACTTCCTGTTAGCGCACAATATACCCCCAATTACATATGACATAGGTCCTGGACGGGCTTGGTCCTCGTTTGTTTTTTGGCCAATCCCTCAAAGTGCTAGCCATCCAAGCGTCTCAGTCGCAATTGGCAAGCCCAACGAAGGGATCTATTCCAGCAAGGACACGGACTAGTTAGGATAATAGGGATATCAGGCCAAGTAATAATTGCTGTCATTTAGCCAATTTAAAAGTCGTTAAAACTTTTCGAGTTTACCTACGTTTAAAAACAATTATTTTAATGTGGCAAATTAGAATAATAAAACACAAACTGAAGAGTCTTACCACTTGTACTTACATAGGAACTATATGGTTCTAAATATTTCAAGGTGAGCATATCATAACAGATACATATATGTAAGTGTTATATATTCCAAAGCTCAGATAATTATTTATGAATATCTGGTATCAAATGTTAGATACGTATACCATTACAACCAAAATGTTAAAAAAAATGAATGCCTGCTGAATGCACTTTAAAACACATGCAAACTTTTAGAAGTATACCACTATTAAAACCCTTTTCAATGGATAAAATAAGAACCTATTCATATTCTATTGATTTTTGCTAGTATCCCATAAATTGCAGGGTAACCAGGCAAAGGGAAATTATTGGTTTTCCAAGTGGACGCAATGCAACTCTGCAATTACATCACAAACAGAAGTGACTCTGGTTAAGGAACCTATTTTACAGCCCCCCCCTGGAACATCGAAGGATTCGACTTTTCGGAGAAACTCCCCTTTTTGACCTCAAACGGAATTTTAGCCTGCAATGCCGATGTACAACTTGCGTTCAACTATTTTGCAACTTGGTGCACTTTGTGGGGGCGCTGCAAAGTATGCTATGGCAATTGTCGAAACGCCAGGAGTAATTACAACTAGGCACAGGACTACACGGGGATACACAAGGATGTACACACACAAACACACACACACAGATAGACACGAAATGCTGTTGGCTTTTGTTTTATAGATCTTTAAAGTAGATATATATATATATATACCCATGTTGGCCTCTGACTCCTGACTCCTCCTGTTGTTGTTTTGATTGCCCGATTAACTCCACGCAGGAGCGTTAAACCGTGTCCCTCGGCCCTTGGGCCAAAACAAAGGATACGAAAAAAAAAGAGCGAAGAAGGAATCAACAATCGCGCCACTTTCCACCAGTTTCCAAGGCGTTGACAATCCGCAGGCATTGTCAGTTGGACTAGGTAAGGAGCAAAGTAACCGCAGCCCCATGGATTTACTGGGGGGCGGTACCGGGCGTAGAACCAACTATTGACAAAACAAGGCCAAGAAACGGGCGTAACTTTCTTTTCTTTCGTTTCCTCTTTTTATTTGTTAGATTTCACTTGTTTGTAACATGTTTTTTATTTATTAATTTTTTTTTGCGTTTACTATTTTTTTTTTTACTCATTTTTGTCTCCCTTCGTCCTTGGGGTTCATGTCCTTTCGACTCCGATTGCTTGAATTACGTTTTAATTATTGTGTGTCCTGATAGATATCGGCATATATATATATATATGGTGTGTGTGTGTGTGTTGTGTGTAACTTATTTACAACTATCAGATTACTCATTAATTCTGCTTTTCGACTTAGGCATAAGTATTGTTATAGTGTTAGTACATAGTACAGTAGATCGGTAATATATATATCTGCACTTTCATTTAATTTCACTTAAGATCCCTCTAAAAATCACACCCTCTAAATGCATCCCAACGGGTGTCCTCCACAATCCTCCAATTTGATTAACAATTTTTAATGGTGGAGTGCAGAGATAGAGGGAGACAGTTAGAGCAAAAGTGAAAAGGAGACAAAGATGACAAATAAACAGGTAAATATGGGTAAAGCAAAATGTATTATAATAGAAAAAAAAAACAGAGTTGGTTTTGGCTTAAACACGGGTGGCATAAGTTAGACATAAGAATTATTGCATTTAATTACACGATCAATTCGAATCCTATTTTAAAATATTACATAATAACCGTACAATAATATTAATTAACAAGAAAAGAACTGCAACGTTTATTCTGTCTGTTCCACGCAATCGTCTCCAAACGCTTCCTCTAGGATTTGTCTTGGTTTTCTATTTAATTCTATTTAGTTTCGATCGTTTTTCACTTTTGTTTTTTGGGCAGGGACAATGCTGCTAAGTCAGATAAAAAATTTCTAAATACATGTTTTACGCTTAAATCGGCTGACAATTAAAAATCCTATTAAAAACGCTTACGCAATTAAACAAAATAAGAAAACAAGCATACACATAAAGCTGGGGGAGAACAAAACGCACAATTCGTTGATCGATCTAAGCGGTAACTGAGGGCTCCTCTGGATTATTGGGTTATCATCGTGTGGTACTCGTGTTTGTGGTGAGGGTTTTCCAAAAAACTTTTCCTTTTTGATGTAGTGGTGGTACTTGTGTTTACGATACGTTTACTATCAACTTGTTACTCAATTGCTAAACTCTAAAGAACGGGCATCGACGTCTGTTTAATGCCAGATCAAGGCCAAAAGCAATTTCACGTCATATTTCGTATTGCGTGTGCTCTTACTATAACCATTTTAATTGCGTTTGCATCTATGCTTTTATCTCTGTTATCTGTTGTGTATTCTTTAATCCATATTCACTTTCGTTCTCCATTTTGTTCTCCTCCGTTTCCGGTTTGTTGTGGTCTATATATCTGTTACGATCTGTTGCGATCCTTGCTCCAATCCTTTTGTAGATTTTTTGTTGTTATTATCAGCTACTGATGGCTAAACTAAGAGTTTTTTTAAATCTTGTTTTTCTTGCTGCTTACATTAGAGTGTGTGTATATATATATATGTATATATATATATTGTATGTATATATTTATATGTATGTGCGTGTGTGCGCAGATCATCACACGCCATCATCGAATCACTTTCTATCTTAAAATCCAATTATCATTTATCAATTATTATATATATATATATATATATATATATAGAGTTGTATATATATATATTGTTGCTTGTTGTTCCGTCGCCAACTGAAGGGATGGGGGGTGGGGGTGGGGAAGCGGGAGTTTGGGGGTTGTGGGCCGGGGACAATGGGGTCTCAAAGCATTTGTATTAGGCTGTTGTCAGTGTTAGTGTTAGCGGTAGTTCCGTAGGCTGGCGATCCAACCGATATTATAACTCCATGTCCCTGGCCTCATCCTCACTGTAGTCGGACATGCTCGACTCGCTGTCGCTGCTCTCCCGCTCCTGCTGCGCCGCCCGCAGCGCATCCTCGGTGGCATACCGCTGCACATAGTCGGCCACCTTGCGATGGTACTCCTCCGGCTCGTGCAGGTACAATGCGGCCGCATCCCGATTGAGCGGATCGACCGGATTGGGATATGTGAGCAGTTGCGGCAAGAACGATTCGAAGATGTTCGACAAATCGTACAACGCCGTCCAGGCCTGATTGATCACATCCAGGCACACAGTGCCGGAGGATTCGTCAATATTGGGATGGTAGATCTTGTTCACAAAACCGATGCTCGGCGATTTGAAGGGATAGTTGTCGGGCAGGTAGACGCGCACCTTCCACACGCCGCCCTCGTAGGGCGTCTCCGTTGGTCCGAAGAACTTGACGTGGAACTCGTTCAGGCCTCCCAGGATCGTCACCTCGTGCTTCGATTCGATCAGCTTGATCACATCGTTGTCCATGCGTCGCTTTCCGGCACTGGGCGAGGACATTTTGTTGGCTTTGTTGTGGGGGTTTTGTGGGGTTTGGGGTTTTGTCTGGCTTTTGATTTGATTGGTTTTGTTTTGATTTGGTTTGGAGTGGTCGTCTCCTCGTTGTCTTACTCTAAGGCTAAGGCGGTGTTTTTATTTTTGTTTTTTTTTGTTGGTTTTTGTTCCTTTTATATATTGCTATTGTGTTGCTTCCGCTTTCCGCTTCCGGTTGCCCAGCTGCTGCTCCTCCGCCTGCCTCGAACTGCTCCGCATTCGTCAACTCTCACTGGCACCGTCCAGAGCAAAACGGGAGCTGCCTGCAAGTAGGACAAAAGGATACAAGGATGAGCCACGTGAAGGTTATTTCAATTGTACATTGTTCATTGGATGAACATCATTACCATGCCTCTCTGCTATAAATAAATATATATGTATAAAGATAGGTATTAAAATGTTGTTATAAAATAAATGATAAAACTGTTAAATTATTGATTTCTCTAAATAAAGATTCAATTTGTTAATAACTATTATATTTAAAAAAAATCATAATACCCTATAAATAAATCCTAATCTTATAGGTACTATTTTCAACTTGAGATACTTAAACAGATTTTGTTTGACTAACTGATAAATTTATCCGCCAAAAGTTCCACTTTGCCAGGTGGGACCGTGGCGCCAAGGTAGGCGATACAATCTGGAGGAGGACGAGTTACCTTCTGAGTTATCTATATGCAGTATATATATTTATATTCATGGTTATGTGGGTCACCAGCGAATCTCTTGCTTTTGCACACACACACACACCGTACACACACAACATGCACATGCATACTTGGCCTAAATGAGGAAACTATGTCAGCAATCTGTGACGTCGTCGCCAAAATCCACCCACTCCCACTCCCGCTCTCTCTCTCTCATGCTCTTCCTTACTCACTCTCTAATACGTCATTGCCATTTGCAAAATTCGTTGTCCTTCGAAGTGGATTTGCTCAACGGATTTATGCTGCATACTTTCGGGATACCGTTATGCTCTATCCCTGTACCTTTCCCCACATCTCTCTTCTTTTTTCTACCCCACTCACTTGCTCTTGGCGATTTCGTTTCAATTTCAATTCCGTTTCCCTTCAGTGGGGTGGATGGGGGGTTTTGGGTTGGCCAGTTGATTGGTTGGGTGGCTGTTGTTTTCAAACAAGCTCAGCTGTTTAATGTTGTTGCTCGAAAGTCACAGAGGGAGAGCGAGAGAGCAAAAGAGAGGCAGCCCCACCATAATCTTGAAATCAACAAATGTACAGTGGAACTAAAAATCACAAAGGTAAGATCTTATAAAGTTTAAAGATACAAAAATCGAACAAACTCTTTATATATTCCAATAATCAAGATCTTCTGGAGAAGTTTTCACTAATTTTTAATAAGGATTTTTAGGAATATTTTAAAAATAGACTAGAAATTAAATTATTCGGTATTTTGAAACCAGTTTCAACTTGGCACAATAAAAGCTTCAACACAACTTGCTATTTTAAAATAGACACTTCGACTGACCCCACTGTGCCCCATGCTTCGGCTCTCCCTCTCTCCAACCACTCTTACACTCTTTGGGATGAGCTAATTCTGCTGTTACTCTCTTGCACTTCGTGTGTGTGGCTGTGTGTGTGAGTGCTGGCTCCCCCTTCTTTCTTTCTCCTTCTGGCCACCCCACATCAAAAGTCTTTCCGTTTCTGTCTTTCTGCCACGGTTTGGCTTCGTTACTTTAACAAATTGTGAAATTCTCTTTCGATTTCTGTATGTTGTTCGTGTGTGGAGGAGAATTGATGTGCCTGCCCGTTGTTGTTGTTGTTTTCGTGGCTTTACTGTACGCAATAAGCGAAGTAATACTGTTTGTCGTCGTTGTTGTTGTTGTTGTTATTATTATTTGCATTGCTTTTGTGTAAGACTTTGAGGCGCAAGTGTGCGTGTGTGTACTTGTGATGCGTCCACATGCACATGGAAGATCACCGAGCAACAAAAGCAGCCCCAGCAACAACAACAATAACTTACAGCGAACAAAAAAATAAAATAAACAAAAAAAAATTTGAGAGTCAGCTGCAATTTGAGGCTTTTGTTGTTGTCTCATGGAGGAGTCCCTCTTTCTATTGAAATATGAATGTCTTCACTTTTGATATCACACAAAGAATTTGAGGAAAACTTTTAAATAAACACGTATCGCAAAACACGCGTTTCAAATGTATAGGTTTATATTCTTTTAAGAATATATACATATAGTTTTTATTTTGATAACTTGGTTATTTACTTGCAACTAATGTTGTGGTTTTTTGATGATGATATTTGTTGTTCTCGGCCCTGCTGCTCCCTTATGCACAGATATCTGCATATGTTAGTGTGTGTTTTCGTTTTCGCTCGTTTTGTTGTCTACTTCAACTAGTTACTGAAAATTAACTGGCAACAGAGTTTCGAGCCCCCAAAGCAGAAAGCAGAAAAGCAGAAAGCAGCGCACGTTGGAGCTCGCGAGCATCTGACGGCGACAGCGACGCCAGCATAAAGCAGAGAGCGACAATCAGGAGAGCAAGCGCAAAAGAGAGAGAGAGTGGTGGGGAGGGGGTTCGGTGATGGGGGCGGAGAGAGTTTACTGAGTGCAGTACACAGAGAAAAACAGGATCCTCCACTTAAAATCTAAAGTATGTATACAGGTTTCAGGGTGCTTAAGTAAAAACGCCTAAAATAATGCTTTGAAAAATAAAAAACCTCTTACTTCAATGCAATTTTTCATGGCATGCTTTTTGGTTGGTTGCTTTGGAAAATATAATTACCTCTTACAGCCAGGCATATTTCATGGCATGCTTTTAGGTTTCAAGCTTTAAAATTTTTAAGATACATAACTGAAAATGTGTTGAAAAGTATGCTGCGAATTAATAAAAACAAAATATATTCTTTGAAACTTTCAAGTAAAAGACAATTTCTTAGAAAAGTATATTACCAATTGAGGTACAATTTGCTTTCAGTGTATTGGCCCCCCTTCAAAGAAAAATCATAATAACAAAAGCGATGAGCAACAACAAATTAGACGAAAAGAGAGCCCCCAAAGCAAAGCAAGGCAAAGAAAAGCTATAATCAAGGACAGCGACAGCTGTAAAATGCAGCAAATGCAAAGCAAAGCCACAAAAACAACAAGAAGCTAGTGAAAGAAATGAGAAATAGCGGGAGAGAGGGAGGAGGGAAAGAGAGAGACCAAAAAGCCGAAGTGGCGATGCCCTTCAAAATTGCACACGTGCGATTGTGTATGTATGGAGCCTAGCAACAAAATATACAAATACATACCAAAAGCAATTGAAGGAGGAGAATTAACGAGGTCAAATGCAACGGTTTAACGAAGGGTTCCAAAGCAAAACCAAGAACAAAGTCAAAAATTGGGAAGACATCTTTGCAGATTTTGTGTTTGCCTTCTTTGCAACCTCCCCCACACATACACAGCCATATTGGGTCATTGACTGCATGTGTGTGTGTTTGGCAGAGGGGCTATAAAAAGGTAGCAATTCGTAGATATTTCAAAATTAAAACGCTTTCAATTTATTACTTTGCTTTTGAATACATACATTTAATTTTACGTGCTGATAAGACTTTTAAAACGCAAAACAGAGGGAGAAGGTGAAGCGAAAACACACAACGCAATAAGCAGGCCAAAGCAAAAGCAAAGTGCGTAGTTTTCGGGTAGGTGGGGTAGGGTGGTGCGCAAAAGGGATGGCAATAGCACAACAAAGAAAAGATTGCAACTAACGGGAGTTAAAGAGCTCCACACATATGTACATATATGCATAGCATAGGGGTTTCGATCAACGGTGAATTCTTGGAATTACTCGTTAATAACAGTTGAAAGTTTGAATTTGAATTCGAGGAAATAATATGCGAAATTAGAAGAGCGTGAGGGAGAGAGACAAAGGAGAGAGATGGAAAACATTCACAGCTGTGCGGGGGTCAATCTGCTATTGTTGTTGTTGGATTCTCACCCACACCCACACACATACACTTACTGGCTAATGTCCGTGATAATATTAAATTCAGTTATTCTATTTTTCATCAAGCAATTATACATACACCCACACACCCACTATATATTCTGTACCTTTTCGTCTTTTTATTTTGATATCTCTTGGTGTGTGTGTATATTTGCAGTAGCCTCCCGTTTTAGTTGTTATTGTTGCTCGTGGGTGGTGTTGTTGGCTGGCGGCGGCCGTCGATTTTAACGCTTCGATACTTCACCACATTGTCGTTTGATCACCGTAATATGTTCATTTTCTTGGAATCACCACTTCTCCAATTAGTTAGTTAACTAATATTGTTTTGTTTCCCCTATTAATAAATATCTGCTCGGAGAGCAGCAGAGCAGCCTGACCGCGAGAAATACCAAACGTGAAATAAATTTGGTCTCAAAAATATACTATAAAATACTATTTCATATTTTACAAAATACCACTGTAAATACCATAACAAATAAATCGCCTGGAAATTCAAATTATACTGGGTATTCCCTAAACTGCTGAATTGCTGAGTTGTTGAATTTTGATCAGCTGCTAATCAGCTTTTCCATACAAAGTCAACTGTCAGAAATGTCAGCAATTCAACAGCCTCGGGGCTGTTGAAAATTTGGTTTAATTGCTTAAAACCAGAGTTGTCGCTGTTCTAGACTAAAAGTAAGTGGGTAACTCTAGTCACTTGTAAACCTGGAGGAATTGCCATCGTATAAAATATGCAAGTAAAGGATATCTGATAGGATGCTGCCTGTTAGCAGTTCTAATATTTTAGTTTTTTGGCTTATTCTCGGCATTTTCCTTAATTTTAAACATAATCTTTGGTAAACACAGACTGGCAATTTGACAATCTGACAAACAGCAGACATCTTAACATTTAAAATTAAACAGGGAACTTTTAGGGTCGTTCCCCTTGCTGAAATTTTCTATTTAATTTTCAACAATTCAGCAATTCAACAGTTTAGGGAATACCCTGAATATGTAATATGTAAAATTGACTTATTATATATAGAAAAAATAAGGTTTTCCCATTGCAAAAAATGTTTGTTTTTTATTTCATTTTACAAGATTAATAATATTTCAGTCCAACATAAAACTAAAACAATATGCATATCCATATTCCAATATATATTTAAAGTCTTAAAATTAATTAAATGCTTAAAGTTCATTTTGTAACATTTTCTTAAAATAAAATAATAGAGGAACTTCTTTGTCCAGTCATCGAGTAACATGTTCTTATCATAAAATAATAAAGAAACTTCTTTGTCCAGTCTTGTAAGTTTCTTTTAAGATCGGAATATTACATATAATTATATTTACTAGCCTTCTTCGTCAGAGCTGCTTAAATTAAATTGGTTGAGATCTTTACATAATACTTGTTCATTGGGCTTAAAATTATTGCACCCATTTTCGCGCAATGATTGTTTTACATTTAATATTTGTGATACATTTACATTTTTAAAGCGGTTTCGATTTTTCGTTTTGATTAAATTAATTTGAGAGAATATGCGTTCGCACGACGCATTAGAAACGGGTAAAATTAACATAGATTGAGCAAATTTCGAAATATTCGAATATTTATAGCAATTATTTATATCTTTTAGCTGATAAAATACCAAAAAGGATTTTAAATACCATATTCGGTCACGCTGAGGTCAAAAACAAAAACGTAAGAAAACGTAAGTGTCGGCAAAACGTAAGCCACCGTAAGTCAGTATAAAAGCGAGACAGCCTCAGCGTAAGAGCAACGAACAGCTATGATATCGATGAATTCTCAAAGTGAACCGAATATTCTCTCGAAATATACGTAAAAATATCCATACATGGATATTTTTTTGAATTGGAAATATTTATATCGGAAAAATTTTTTGCGGAAATATGTGACCATCGATATATATTTCTTAATATTTCCTTCGAAAACCAAGACAAACCGATTTGTTTTTGCCAATTTTACCAACCATCATTTTTAAATATATTTAAAAGCAATAAGAAATATCTAAGTAAAAAATATAAAAGTATCTACAAATATTTGTGAATAAATCGATATTTCGACCGTTATTTGAGCGCCACTTTTAAAAATTTTGAGTCTCAACCGTTTTGCGGCAATTGTGAAACGGTTGAATTTGAAGCACGTGGGTTTTCTTTTAACTAACTTTATTGCTATTTACTCCCAAGGATTTTATTACTTCAAATGAAGTTCAAACCCTGCAAAGACTTCCTTTCAAATGTCACATTTAAGTTGAACCCAATAAAATATACTTGAATTGTTTTATTTATTATTTTCGTTTCTTACAATTGCAATTTCGTTTCGTTACATTTTGAATGCGCTTATTAAAACTTGTAATTTGTTTGGTTTTCTGTTTTTAGGATCTCTGTTTTGTGTTAAAAATGAGAGGTTAACAATCTTTTAAATTAGCTCTATTTGCTTGACGTAAAACGTGTTTGTTTTTGTTAACGTAGTACTTTTAAACATTAATTGTTTTTATTGCAGCTTCGTGTACTTTTTTGCCTCATTGTTTTTGTTTTTATTTTTATTGCAAATACTGAGAGTGTTATTTAAATTCAAAATCGAAAGGTACAATTTGTGGTTAATATTGGTTTTAGTTTCTGATTTAGTTTAGTTTATAACTGTTTGTAAATATCCCTTTTTGTTATGAGACTTGGCAAATTAAATTCGTCCATGCATCAGCAGCTTTTCAAATTCTCAGATTCAAAATAGGATCCAAAGGTAAATTTTTGAATTGATATTGATGTTTGTTTTAATATCATGCTCGTTGATGCGTTTTGATTCAAATTGGTTGCTTAAACAATTAAACAATGAGGACCTCTCAAACGTAAACATGGAAATAGATCGCAATTGTCCAAGGGGAAAATCACATGAGATATTATTACAAAATCGACAATTTTACAATTACATTAACTATTATTATAATCCGGGTTTAAGCGATATTCAAATTCCTTCCTATGCTACAGGCAGTGTTTCCAAAGCCACTTTTTGTTAACTGGCGTGCTTGATAACTTAAAAAGTTTATTGCTTCTGTGTTTTAGTGGCTTTTATTAAGTTGGAATGATAGCTTGGTGACAAAAGCCAATCAAAAATAATGATCAAATGTGGTTTCCGCCCTTATTTTCATTATCTCATTGCTACTCTGGGTTAAAATGTTTACTTTTTATTTTAATTTCGTTGTTTTTTTAGTTGGATAACTGTGACGTAACAATAACAAATAAAGGCCAATGAAATCTGTCTAAAACTATTTATGTTCGTAAGATGAGTGTATGTGTCTATATAGAGATAGATATAATCATTCCCAGCGGATCACCATTTAATAAATACAAAGGTTAGGGGTTCCTAGGTCCTTTCAAATCTAATCACTAAATAACGTACAAATGCAAAATAATTGCTTAAAAATAAGGTAAAGAGTAAGATCTTTTCAAACTACTAAATAAATATAACTAAAATAATGGATCCTTTCAAAGGTTCCGCTGGGAAATTTGTTTTGTTATTAGCTTGAGAAATAGTGAGAGAGCTATAGAGAAAAAGTGGCGTATGCGGGAGGTTAACCTTCATTTTTAAGAAAATGATATTTGTAAAATATAATAAATAAATACAGAATTTTCCTGAACCCCCTAAATGCCTACGCCACTGTGTGAGTGTGTTTTTTTAGCGAGGGAGAAATGCAAATGGGTGTCCTTACTATCAATGCTTTCTGCAGAGCGTTTCCTTTCAATTTCCAGCCTCCTAGCCTCCAATTAATATGTATTTGAGCTTTAACAATTGTCAATGATTTCCTGTTCGGCTTAGTTCTCCTCCTCATAGATTATATAAACAAATTTAACATTATATGCTCGTTACATTCGAATCGATTTGGATTTCGCTAGCTGCAAATATTTAGTCATACATCGTTAATATATCAATTGTTTACTTGTAGATTACAATTAACGTTTCATTCCGCATCTGTCATGAATGTATATTTTCATTATAGGTGTATAATTAGGCTATAAATATTTTATTCTTCGAACGATATCGTTCTTTTTGTTTTTTTTTCTTGTCAAAATTTTGAAGACCAAATAAATTGGCAATTATAACTACAAAAATTTAAAAGTGAGGCTGATCTCTGACTCTGTTTCTGGCTAAAATTGTCCCTGGCTAAATTCTAAATTAGTGAAATCATCCTAAACTGGGGATAATTTAGTGTTAAACTATTCCATTTCTTTCGCCTAGATGTTTACGGATACGCAGATATCGCTATTGGGTATCAGCTCTATGAGGTTGCATCTACTCCACATGCAACTAGTACATTTGTCCTGCTTACAGACTATGTTCATAAGATATATGTAGAGTCGCCGGGTGTGTGGGGTGTGTGTTCCCTTTCGATCCGGTATAGTGGATCGAAATGATCGTTCTTCTGAGTTCTGAGGGCTATCTGGAGACCGAGACGCTAAACAAATGCGTAACAATTCACTGATCAAATTTAAAATAATTTAAGAATTTACGGTTGGCTCGCTTTAAACGGCTCGCCTCACTAGCAACGCTTTACAATTTTGGTTTCCCTCCGTATTTTGGTTTGGGTTTTGTTTTTTGTTTTTTTTCCGTATTTTTGGGGCTATATGGAGTTTTAGGCCTTGAACAGCTGTGGGAACTCGTTGGCTATTTCCCGCACCAGCTGCTGATCGGAGGCACTGCACTCGGTCTCCTCGCAGAAGATGCGCGTGAAGATCTTCATGAGATCGTGCTTGCGGTGCTGGTGCTCCTGGTAATTCGTGTTGCGCAGGATGCGTCGGCACAGCTCCAAGTAGCAGGGTCGCGTCTGTAATCAAATCGGGTGTTATAGTAATCGAATTGGTCTATTGAATTGCTGCAGACTTACCGAACTGCCGGCATCCAAATCGGAGAGCTGGCGAACCACTATATCGATGAGCACCTTGATGTCGTTCGTGTAGAACATACCGGCCGTGTCCGAATGGCTGAATATGTCGATAAACATTCGCAGCACCGTGTTCATGTGCTCGTTAGGATGCTTTAGCAAGCGGGTTGGATCATCTGGTAAATATTTTAAAATAATATTATTTTTATAAAATAAAATCAAAAAAATAATATATAGTGTTTTATATAGATAATTCCATAATTATATATCATATCCATCTGGTTTAAGAATGAAAATATTTCTTACTACAACAAGTATTTTAAGAAAATAAAAGCAAAATTAATCTATTGTTTTTTAAATTGATGAAAAAATGATAATATATCACATTATCTAATAAAATTTGAAAATATTCTGTATTACTAAAGGTATTTTTATATCATTTAATCAAAATAAATCCATAGTGTTTTAATAGGATAATTCAAGATGATATATCATATAATCTGGTTAAAAAGGATCCTTTTAACCATATTTTTGAGCTGAAGGTTCAGAACTTACCTTCTCGATTGAGCAGTAGCAGTAGTTTCTCCGTGAACACCTTGGCGGAGGGCAGATTCTGCATGCCCTCGATGATAACATTAAAGGTGTGTTCGCTGAACTGCTGGTTAAAGGCCAATATCAAGGCAATAACCATATCCACCAGGAGCTCTGGATTATTTCCCTCGACAATTTCCAGCAGAAAGCTGGCAAAGTGAACACCCAAATAGTCTGGAAGATAAACCAAGTCATAGGAACCTTATTCCATTAATTGGCTAATCAGTAACTAAAACTCACCCTGATGATTAACTGGCATGGGCTGCCCAAGTGAGAAGATGATGGTCAGCATCTTGACCAGCTGCTTGAAGCGATCCAGATTGGAGAAGTGCGTCTTCATGTCCTCCACCTAGAAATGGAAATATATGTAGGGATCGCTTAACTTCCTTTATCCCTGCTCCTGCTTACAATCTCCAGCGGTAGCACCGAGGTCAGCAGTATGTCCACAATGATGTAGTCCAGATGGCAAGCGGCTGTGAAGGTCTTGAGCAGCAGTCGCTTGATGGACCAGCGCGTCTCCATCTGATAGTATTGCACCAGGTTGATGAACATTTGGTACTGATCGCAGGACATCTCGTAGCAACTAATGCTCTCATCAGCGTTGATCTGTGAGGGATCATTTAACATTAAAATATCAGTTAGTTTAAGTATTTGTTAATTTGTAATCTAATTATAGAAAAACATTGCCTACTTTTGAGCAGTATTAAAAGGGGAATCCTTTTGGCAATTTTGGATGAGTTCTTTCAAATTTGTAAAGTAAATTTTTTATAATAATCTTTCATACCTTAATTTAAGTACTAAATCTCACCAGAATCTCGACGAGCTCCTCAAGGAACTGAATGATGTCCTCCTCGTCCTCGTAGAGCATCCAGGTGCGCTGCTCCGTGTCGTTCTTGCAGTCGGCCAGCTGGGCGAAGAGGTACTGCAGCCGCTTGGCGTCGTGCGTGATGCCCAGCAGTTCCTTGGGCGTGGCCACCTTACCGGTGACATGGACAGCCACTGCCTCCAGGTACGGATTGATGGCCCCATTGTAAAGCTGCTCCAGGCTGGTCAGCACCACGCGCAACGCCTCGCAGGAGAGATCGAAGCTGAGGTTAGTGTTCCGACGCAGTGCGTCCACAATCTGATAGACGTCGGAGGACTCAACCTTCAGCTGACCCCCGCCCGTGGCACCCTCCTCGATCCTGCCCAGACTGAGACCGCGCTGCCGATGCGACGGGCTATCGATGCTGTCCAGCGCCTGACTATTATCCGCACTATCCCCATTGGCCTGGCAACCATCATCACTCGGCACGGCGCTGGCATCGTCCGACTTGTCCGGCGCACTGTCCGCCTCCTCCTGCTGCAGCTCCTGGTGCAGGGCCGCCGTACTTCCGTTGCCATTGCCATGGCCATTCCCGCCGCTGCTGCGCAAAGCCGAAGCCGAGGCGGATGCGGAAATGGATGCTGAGGCAGTGCTGCCATTCGCAGGCTTGTTCTGCTGGCTGGTGCTCATCTGGCTGGTCTCCTTGTATGTGGTGACCACATCCTCGCTGGTCGTCGTAGTGGTCGTTGTCGTCTCCGACGGCTCCGACGTAATGCTATTGTCCTGCGCCACATCCCCGCCGGCGGCTGCTTTGCTCGATGCGGCCGCCGTGGGCGTGGCTGGAGCTGGCGATGGTGATGGTGATGGAGCTGGTGCTGGCGGTGCTGGTAGCGGCTGTTGCTGCTGCGGCGTCTGGATGGTGCAGCTGCTGCCCTGGAACTGCATGCTGCCCATGCTGGGCGATTCAATCATGCCCTGATTTTGGAGCGCACCACATGAAGAGCCCACCGCCGGACTGGACATGCTTTTCTTGCTCATGTCCAGGCGCTGGGGGCCACCACCACTGCCGCTGGGCGGTGGACTGTGCTGGCGGTGCTGGGAATGGAGCTGCGTCTGGGATTGGGTGGGATGGGGATGCGAGTGCCGGTGGCTGCCCTTGTCACTGTAGCTCTGCGAATAGGACAGCGAGGAGTCGCCATCGCGCTCGGAGCTCTCCTGCAAAGAGGGGGTACAAATTAGATGGGTTCCTTTGTGGTTGCACTCTAAACCCACCGCATAGAGTCGCTCCATGGTGTGCTTCTTCTCGCGCAGCCTGTCCAGCAGTTCGTCCTTGGACATGATGCCATTAATCTCATGATCCGTGCACTTTTCCAGCGATTCTATTGAGGAGTTCAGAAAGCTGATGAGAAAGTCGTGCTCCACCTGGTAAAGTTTCGAAATGGGTTAGCAACTCGTTTAACCTCTTATTCAAGCGGGTTTGCCCACCTTAATCTTCATTACGTAATTGGAGGGCACAAAGCCAATGTTGCCCTTCATGCTGACCACTTGCCACCAATTGCGCTGGCGGGCGGATGTCTGGTACAGGATGAAGTACTCGCCCTCATCGAAGCTAATGGTCTTGGGATAGACCGCCTGGAAGTCGTACAGGGCCTTCAGCATCTCGATGCCTATGCCGATGCCCAAACCGATGTCACTGCTGCCACCTCCTCCTCCTCCTGCTGCTCCACTGGGGCCACTTGCTCCTGCTCCTTCTGCTGATGCTGCCTCTGCTGTCGCTGAAATTTGTATCAAATAGGAAGCCGCATCATTTGAGTTGAATTTCAAAGTTGAAAAATTGGAAAATCTCTTTTTCGAGGGCGTCGGCACTCACAGAAGGAAAACGGGGAAAAGTGCAGCAGGCGCTAAACTTAAACAAAAAATCAAAGTTCACTGCCGAGGGCCAAACGGCGGACTGCCGACGGATTTGACTTTTTCTTCGCCTGTGAATTTTTTTTCGACAGCAGGAATTGCGACTGCACTGCACTGCAGAGTTCCGCAGGACTCACGCACACAGCCGCAAAACAGGATACGCCTGCTGATGGAATTTTTAATAGAGCGCCCCCACACAGGAAAAGGAAAATGCAATTTTCATATTTCACTTGCGCTCGCTCGCTCTTCCTGCCTTTCCCGTTTCTGCTTTGTGCGCTGCTTTTTGGTCCTGCAACAACGCCTTGCGCTTTTGATCCTTTTCAGCTTACATTGTTTTCCCCACAAACACAAACACGCCCGAGAGAGCCACGTGGCTTCTGCGCTCTCCACTCTCTTGGCTACACTGGGGGAAAAGTCTCAGGATATTTAAAAGTACCTGCTAATGTTGCATTTCTAAAAATCATTTCTTGATCTGATACAGTATCATAAAATGCAACTTGTTAATGTCAGTAATTTATAAAAATTATCAAAAATACTAAATCCGAATTTTAGAGGTCGTAACAAAGGCCCGAGTTCAAATACCACCGCTGCCCAAGGAGTTTTTTATTTATTTTTAAGCTAAATTGTTTTAATATTTTATAAATAAATTATGCAATTTTCTTTGTGTGCCCATGTTGTTGCTTTGTGTGAAAATCTCAACACGGACAAATCCGTTTCAAAACACAACGGCCCCTCCACTGCCCCGCCCACTTGAGATTTCTCTCTCCACGCGCGCGCATTTCCCTCTCTCTCTCAGAATGTCCTTGCGGACGCGAACCGGTTCGTAAATTAGCCAGTAAACAACGGTACTAATAACCGTAATATTTGTAGTTCACATTTGTGGTTTAAAGTGTAAAATCTTGTAAAGCATTAGAAATGTATAAATTAATTCTGCTAAAAATGGAAATATACAAACTAAACGTTAAACATTTTATTTAACTGAAAAAATGTTTTGTTTATTCAAGCACATTTTTTAAAATAAATATTTTTGACTAAGTAAAATGAACTAGATCATAATAAAGCTCAAATTCCATTTCAGATACTTACGCTAATGAAATAAATAGGGTTTATGCAGTTAGGTAATTTAAATTAAAATAAAATGGTAGGTAGGTATATAATTACGAAATAAAAGGATAATGGCCTCTAATGGCCTCCTTAACTTGCTCTGTTTAAAGGATAATAAGTAAATATATCATTTTGATATTTCATATTTTGAGTATTAGCAAAGTATGGCTATGTCTTTTATCCAATATGGATTCAAAATAAAGGATCTGGTAATAATATTCTAAAATATTCCTCGTTTTACACCGATCCCTGAACTGAAAAGCCCCGTTTTCGAGGACTAATGATTCCGGAACTTGTCAAAGGCACCTGCTGGACTCTCACACAGACAAACACACGCCCATACACGCACACCCAGCCAAAGCGGAAATAATGTATGGAAATGCGACAATGGGGACAACAGAAAAGGAGGTGAAGAAAAGAGAATATGCCCGCCCACTTACCCATCTTTTGGGGCGCACCTTTTACTGTAATTGCGTTTGTCGGTTGTTGTTGTTGTTGTTGCTGTCGTCGCTGCTGCTGTTGTGTTGTTGTATTGTGTTCCTGTTGTTTGTTGTTTCAGACGTCACCTATTCTTCTTCGTCCTGCTGCCTCCTCCACTTCCTCCACTTGACGTCCACGAGCCAAGGACGTTTGCATATGTATGTATATGTGTGTGTGTGTGTGTGTGTGTGTAGCCGTCTTCTTTTCGTCCTGCCGATGGGCGTGTTTCCTGCTCCTCTTCTTATTCTTTATGCTCGATGTCCTTTTTGGGCGACAGTTACTTCCGCTGCGCCATCACTTGTTGTTGTTCCCTTTGGCAGCAGCACGCGAATGTGAATGTGAAATTCACTTGATTAATTTCGATGATGCGAGATGCGAAACGAAATATGTACGATGATGCTGCTCTCGCCAAACAGCGATGCACTTGTTTTTGTCTCCTTTGCTCCACTGTCTATTTGTCGCCGGCGTGGCAGGGGAGGGGGGTGAAGTGGGGCATGCTGTGGTCACTCGATAAAGTGAACTTATAAAAATAAAAACTCCTGTGAAAATAGAAAAAACAATTGATTTAAAAAAATGATTAATTTTAAAACGTATGTTTTTTAAAATTAATTTTAAATAATTTTGTATTTTCCTATTTAACAGAATGTTAAACAAATCGAGTGTTCACTGTTTAGCGGTAGATGTATGTGGTTTTTGCAACGGCACTCTTCCACACCCAGAAAAAAAGCCGCAAGACACCCGCTCACACACGCGCACAAGGGTTAAGGGTGTCGTAGAGTTTGTTTATATTTTGTTTTTGGCACGCAATTAATACCGCCAACCCAAAATAGGCACTTTTTAGCGTCACCAACGAAATGTTCTCTAAATTACCAACTTAAATCCGCGAAATCAACAAACAAACATTATCCAATCACTTGTTTTTATTTCCTTATTTTGTTTTTTTTTATTGCTTAGAGGTGGGGCTTGCCGGCCTGTTATCGTTATCGATTTTTGGGCATGGGGGGCTGCCAACTTGGCGCTTAAATTCAAAATTGAAAAGCTTTTTCCCTTTGGTTTTTAGCAAAACGTTTTTTTATTTATTTGCATTGAATATATTTAACTAGGTTGTGGGGGACAGTACAATAGGGTGGTTTATATAAAAATACTGTTTGAAGGGCAAGCAAATAATTGGGCTCTGTTTCGTTATAAAAATGGTAATTTAAATGCTAGCAAATTTTTTGGTTAAACGTTTTGCCTGTGGCACACATATATATATATATTGTTTAGTTCTTTAATTGGTTATAACCATTTTTGTAATCTTGCAATTTCAGCTATTTTAGTCTACCGTTTGCAGGAGAAACCCCTGTGTGATAACATTAAATATGTATATATCGTATTTAAGTACAGTTTTTTTCGGTTGAAGAAGGCATCTTATCAAAAGTCCACAAGTCCTAGACGACCCAATTCTGTTTAGTTTAAAGATTCAACAATTTTTTCCGTTTATTTGCTTGCTTGTGGTCATAATAAATCATAATCGTATCATAATGGTGAAACAATTACATACACAATAAATTATAATAGCACAAGTGTTGTTTTTAGTTATACTTATCATATCTAGTTTAATAACAGCAGGCCACTTTTAGACATATGTGTGTTTTGCGTGTGTGTGTGTGTTGGTGTGTAAATAGATCTATTTAAAAAAAATAAACAACTTTCCATTGTACTTGCATTTATAAGAATAGGAATAATATAATAAATATATATGATGTAAACGAAAACAAACAGAAATACGCTTTTAACCTTGCCTCGTTTTGAACTATATGTATTCATATTTTTTGTAGGTCTTGCGGAACGGCACTTGGTTGAGATTTATGTTGTTGTTGTAGTCCTTGACATTGGTATATAGTAGATTTCGTAGTTCTCTTTTGTTATCTATTCAACTATTGCAAATCAGTTGTGATCGAGGGCTCGAAGGATCCCGATATTCCATCGAAACCAATAACGACGAGAGCCTGGTGAAGCGGAGGATAATAACCTGGCTGGCTGGGGATCCGCGCAAGGGGATCCTCATGTGCCCCATAACCATTCCTCAGTCCTCAATCCATCCTCCATCCTCCTCCTCCTGCTGCTGTCTTCCTGCTTTGCGCATTCATCCAAAGGCCACGCACGGCCGCAAAACATTTGTCCACAATTAGGATCCTGGTGCACGCTAATTGTTAATCCTTTTCGTTTTCCTTTTTTTTAAATTATGCTATAAAATTAATATTGATAAATGTTGCTCCGTATCCGTATCGTTTCGGTTCGTTTTGCCGTTGCCGTTGCCTTTGCCTTTGCTTTTTGCCCTCAACAATATGCCGCACTACATCCAAACGGACCCACAAAACCCGAATCACATGCGCCGGCCACCGGCGGCCAGCTGCGTTGGTCGCGTCCGCAGCGCGCTCCTCGATCATTTCTCCTCACAGCAGCCGTTCTTGGCCAGCTGCTTCTGCAGCGCCGGCGGAATGAAGTCTTTCGTCTTCGTCTTGGAATGATAACCCTGGCCGAGCAGCGCCGGCTCCACCTGCTTGCCCTCCTGAATGCCCTGGATGCGCTTCAGCAGATCGTAATTGATGCGCTCGCTCACCACGGAATCTTGCCTGTTAAAGATTTCGGATAAGTTTATCTTCAGATTGTATATCTTTAAGATATCACTTACTTATAATCCGGGTGACTGAGCACCTGCTCACGCATCCAGGTGGCCGTGGTGATCAGCTCGCCGGCGGCACGCTTCTCAATAAAGCGCAGATACTGTTCAATGGTGCAGTGTGTATCGGTGTCCACCTCCATGGACTGCAAATAGCTGCGAATCAATGGCACCAGACCGGGAAAAACGTTGGGCTGTGGCGGGCAGACAGGAGATGGCATAAGTTATCAAGTATTCCCGTCTTTATAAATGTATATATGACCCTTACCTTGCCATTGAAAATCTCATTGATGGACAGCAGCTGGAACAGCTCGTTCTCCTCGTCATCAGTGTCGGTGTGATCGCTATCTGCGCCATTGGAGGAGCCATTGGTGGAGCCATTGGTGGATCCATTGGTGGTGCCGTTGGTGGTGCCATTGGTGTTGCCATGTCCGTTCATCTTGGCCGTACCATTGGTCAGAGGCTGCTGCTCCTCCTGGTCGCCATTCTCGCTGCCATTTCCATTGGCCAGTCCATTGCCATTCAAGGTGGCCTTGCCATTCGTCTGGGCCTGAGCCTGAGCTTGAGCTTGGGCCTGAGCCTGCGCCTTGGCCGCCCTTTGTTCGGTGGTCTTTGAGGATTTACGGAACCAAAACTTCTCCTTGCGACAGGCATCCCGCTTCTGTGCGGTCTGCATGTTCTCGTCCACCTTGCTGATCGGCGTGAGGAAGTTCAGCTGGTAGGAGAGGATCACCCGGGTGAGCAGCACCACAAAGCAAACGATGGCCGCATTCTCGAAGTCACTGATCTGAGCCTCGCACGGTCGGAACTCCACACGCCAGCCAATAGAGCTATTCGGTGGCGGCGGCTTGAAGCGCATGGTCTGCCAGTTGGTCGACTGGATGTTCTCGAAATGATCGGTATCCTCGTTGTCGTTCTGGTGCACCTTCTCGCTGAATAGGGACACCGTGTCGCGGATAAACAAATGGGCCACATGCTGGGCCAGCAGATGATCGATACCGCCCTCAATTAGACGCTGATACACCGTCTCATCGTAGGTGAGCGGCACATCGTTGTATTTGGCTCCCTCGGGCGACAAATAGGAATCGATGGAATCGTATCGCGACTTGGCAATCCGGAACTTTTGCTTATCCAACGGCACCAGGCCGCGTTCCTCTTCTGTGCGGCAATCCACCGACGAGCTGATCACATTCCAGCGGCAATCCGACTCGGTGAGGTAGCCCCGGTAAATGGGCGAAGCGGCCGTCAGGGCCAACATGATGGGGCACAGGGGAGCCAGCTGATCGTAGAGACGTCGCGCCTCCGTGATGTTGCAGGCCTGGAAGGTCAGCTGCAGGCAGCAGCAGCCCATGCCGAAGCCCATGGCGTCCAAGAGGACCACATCCGGCTCACCAGGCGGGGCACCCTCCACCGGCAGCTTGGTCTTTGTGTCCTTGAAAACTGCAGGGGTAAAGATTCGATTAGTTAGCTTCTTAGTTGCTTTTTCAAAACTGGTTGTATACGATGCAGCGGCCTCAAATCGAATTCAGGGCATCGTGTAGAGCTTGTTGTAAACGATACAGCGTCCTCAAAATGAATTCAGCTGGTGCATCGTTTAAAGCTTGATTTAAACGGTACAGCGCTTTTAAAATGAATTCAGCTGCTGCATCGTTTACAGGCTTCTCCCTCAAATTACAGAAATGCTCACCCTTCAGCTTGATGGACACCTTCTCGCCGCGTCGCTTGCGAATGTTACGGGTGAGGGTCTTGAAGCGCGGATGGCCCGGAAAGATGGCCTCATCCGGAAAGTAGAGCGAGCGGGCCGAACTAAGTGGATCCTCGGGACGTGGCTGGGCCAGTGGATAGGTGAAATTTGGGGCGCCCAGGCGCGGGAAATTCGTGATAGACATGACGCACTCATCCTTGGCCAGCAGTTCGGTGACCTCCTCGCGACGATAGCGCATATTCGCCTCCACCAGATTGAAGTGGGCCATCAGACCGCCAAAGGGTTTGCCGGGTGTGCCCTCAATCATATAGGCTCCGTATTCCGGACGCCACAACGACTTGACGCCCTTGGGATCGGCCAGCTCCTTCTCATTCAGCTCGGCCAGCAAGTCCTGGGCACGCAGGGCCACCCGGGCCACCTGCTGCTCATCATCGAACTTGACAATGATGTACTCCACCTCGTCGCCCCACTTCAGAATGTCGCCCTGGCGATCCTTGAGTCTGTGGTACAGGTTGATGAACTGGTTGACACCATGCTCACGGACGTGATCCGCCAGTGCCTTGGTCTCCTCCCAGGAGAGTGGACTGCCCTCGCTCAGTAGACCCATTGCTGCAAAGATATGAAAGGGAATATGGGGATTACTTAAGGATTTTACAACTTTATAGAGGGGTTGGTGGGAAGATAGGACCTTTAAATTTTGGTTGTTTTTGTGTTTTCGCTGCCCCGACCTGACCGATTCCGATCCAAACCGATCCGGTGTGACGTCTGGTACAGACTACTACGACTACTGCGCCATTATCACCCGGAATACCAGCCCCACCATCACTTCTCCACTCCACTCCTCTCCACTCAACTTTTCATTTCCATTTCCATTGCAACTCGCACATTGTGCAATCGCATTCGAAACATAGAAAACTGCAATCGATGCAATTGCAATTTGTAATTTGCATTTTCAATGCAATTGCATAAACAATATATGACTGGGCCACACGCGGAGAAAAAAAAAAACAATGAATAAGGAAGCTTAGCAATATCAGACACGATTGTTTTGATTTTTCTTATCAATACGATTTGAAATCTAATCAATATTAAATAATAACATGAAATACGGTCTTACTTTTTTAAGACGAACCAATAAGTATTTTGCTTTCGACTCTAATTTGAGTTATTAAAAATATAAATAATAATAATATTCTTATTATATTATAATATTTACATAAATTTATAAGAAAGATTAATCGACTAATGAAGAAAATATTGCTTGTAAACGGTGCAGCAGCATTTGTAAGTACCCAAATATATTTCATATTATTTCCTCCAATTTTTGTATTACTTTGTAAGCATTTCTCTCAGTGCAAGCACGCTTAATTCTTAATACCCCGTCTTCGCCGTTCGTCAGTCAATGGCCTCCGATTGCTGTTCAAATTTCACATCCAATTCCCCCGAAATCAATTACTTTATCTACGTAATGTCTTTTTTGGACACAAGTGCATTCGTGTGCCAAAGCCAAGTGCATTATTTTGTTGTTTGCTCCTTGGTCTTGACACTCGCACAATTTACAACATTTGACTCATTTAATTGATAAGGTGCGACGACCAAATATTAATCAAATAATTGATAAGGG